TTGATGGGGACATGTCCACACCAGGTCAAAGTTGATGGGGACATGTCCACACCAGGTCAAAGTTGGTGGCGACATGTCCACACCAGGTCAAAGTTGATGGGGACATGTCCACACCAGGCCAAAGTTGATGGGGACATGTCCACACCAGACAAAAGTTCATGGGGACATGTCCACACCAGGCCAAAGCTGGTGGGAACATGTCCACACCAGGCCAAAGTTGGTGGGAACATGTCCACACCAGGCAAAAATTGATGGGAAAATGTCCACATCAGGCCAAAGTTGGTGGGGACATGTCCACACCAGGTCAAAGTTGGTGGCGACATGTCCACACCAGGCCAAATTAGATGGGGACATGTCCACATCAGGCCAAAGTTGGTGGCGACATGTCCACATCAGGCCAAATTAGATGGGGACATGTCCACACCAGGCAAAAATTGATGGGAACATGTCCACATCAGGCCAAAGTTGGTGGTGACATGTCCACACCAGGTCAAAGTTGGTGGCGACATGTCCACATCAGGCCCAATTAGATGGGGACATGTCCACATCAGGCCAAAGTTGGTGGTGACATGTCCACACCAGGTCAAATTAGATGGGGACATGTCCACATCAGGTCAAAGTTGGTGGCGACATGTCCACACCAGGTCAAAGTTGGTGGCGACATGTCCAAATCAGGCCAAATTAGATGGGGACATGTCCACACCAGGCAAAAATTTATGGGAACATGTCCACATCAGGCCAAAGTTGGATGTGACATGTCCACACCAGGTCAAAGTTGGTGGCGACATGTCCACATCAGGCAAAAATTGATGGGGACATGTCCACATCAGGCCAAATTAGATGGGGACATGTCCACACCAGGCAAAAATTGATGGGAACATGTCCACATCAGGCCAAAGTTGGTGGTGACATGTCCACACCAGGTCAAAGTTGATGGCGACATGTCCACACCAGGCCAAATTAGATGGGGACATGTCCACATCAGGCCAAAGTTGGTGGTGACATGTCCACACCAGGTCAAAATTGGTGGCAACATGTCCACACCAGGCCAAATTAGATGGGGACATGTCCACATCAGGCCAAAGTTGGTGGCAACATGTCCACACCAGACCAAATTAGATGGGGACATGTCCACATCAGGCCAAAGTTGGTGGCGACATGTCCACACCAGATCAAAGTTGGTGGCGACATGTCCACATCAGGCCAAATTAGATGGGGACATGTCCACACCAGGCAAAAATTGATGGGAACATGTCCACATCAGGCCAAAGTTGGTGGTGACATGTCCACACCAGGTCAAAGTTGGTGGCGACATGTCCACATCAGGCCAAATTAGATGGGGACATGTCCACACCAGGCAAAAATTGATGGGAACATGTCCACATCAGGTCAAAGTTGGTGGTGACATGTCCACACCAGGTCAAAGTTGGTGGCGACATGTCCACACCAGGCCAAATTAGATGGGGACATGTCCACATCAGGTCAAAGTTGGTGGCGACACTTCCACACCAGGTCAAAGTTGGTGGCGACATGTCCACATCAGGCCAAATTAGATGGGGACATGTCCACACCAGGCAAAAATTGATGGGGACATGTCCACATCAGGCCAAATTAGATGGGGACATGTCCACACCAGGCAAAAATTGATGGGAACATGTCCACATCAGGCCAAAGTTGGTGGTGACATGTCCACACCAGGTCAAATTAGATGGGGACATGTCCACACCAGGCCAAATTAGATGGGGACATGTCCACATCAGGTCAAAGTTGGTGGCGACATGTCCACACCAGGTCAAAGTTGGTGGCGACATGTCCACATCAGGTCAAAGTTGGTGGCGACATGTCCACATCAGGTCAAAGTTGGTGGCGACATGTCCACACCAGGTAAAAATTGATGGGAACATGTCCACATCAGGCCAAAGTTGAATGTGACATGTCCACACCAGGTCAACGTTGGTGGCGACATGTCCACATCAGGCAAAAATTGATGGGGACATGTCCACATCAGGCCAAATTAGATGGGGACATGTCCACACCAGGCAAAAATTGATGGGAACATGTCCACATCAGGCCAAAGTTGGTGGTGACATGTCCACACCAGGTCAAATTAGATGGGGACATGTCCACACCAGGCCAAATTAGATGGGGACATGTCCACATCAGGTCAAAGTTGGTGGCGACATGTCCACACCAGGTCAAAGTTGGTGGCGACATGTCCACACCAGGTCAAAGTTGGTGGCGACATGTCCAAATCAGGCCAAATTAGATGGGGACATGTCCACACCAGGCAAAAATTGATGGGAACATGTCCACATCAGGCCAAAGTTGAATGTGACATGTCCACACCAGGTCAACGTTGGTGGCGACATGTCCACATCAGGCAAAAATTGATGGGGACATGTCCACATCAGGCCAAATTAGATGGGGACATGTCCACACCAGGCAAAAATTGATGGGAACATGTCCACATCAGGCCAAAGTTGAATGTGACATGTCCACACCAGGTCAACGTTGGTGGCGACATGTCCACATCAGGCAAAAATTGATGGGGACATGTCCACATCAGGCCAAATTAGATGGGGACATGTCCACACCAGGAAAAATTGATGGGAACATGTCCACATCAGGCCAAAGTTGGTGGTGACATGTCCACACCAGGTCAAATTAGATGGGAACATGTCCACATCAGGCCAAAGTTGAATGTGACATGTCCACACCAGGTCAACGTTGGTGGCGACATGTCCACATCAGGCAAAAATTGATGGGGACATGTCCACATCAGGCCAAATTAGATGGGGACATGTCCACACCAGGCAAAAATTGATGGGAACATGTCCACATCAGGCCAAAGTTGGTGGCGACATGTCCACACCAGGCCAAATTAGATGGGGACATGTCCACATCAGGCAAAAATTGATGGGAACATGTCCACATCAGGCCAAAGTTGGTGGTGACATGTCCACACCAGGTCAAAGTTGGTGGTGACATGTCCACACCAGGTCAAATTAGATGGGGACATGTCCACATCAGGCCAAAGTTGGTGGTGACATGTTCACACCAGGTCAAAGTTGGTGGTGACATGTCCAAACCAGGTCAAATTAGATGGGGACATGTCCACATCAGGCCAAAGTTGGTGGCGACATGTCCACACCTGGTCAAAGTTGGTGGCGACATGTCCACATCAGGCCAAATTAGATGGGGACATGTCCACACCAGGCAAAAATTGATGGGAACATGTCCACATCAGGCCAAAGTTGGTGGTGACACGTCCACACCAGGTCAAAGTTGGTGGCAACATGTCCACACCAGGCCAAATTAGATGGGGACATGTCCACATCAGGTCAAAGTTGGTGGCGACATGTCCACACCAGGTCAAAGTTGGTGGTGACATGTCCACCCCAGGTCAAAGTTGATGGGGACATGTCCACACCAGGCACATGTTGATGGGGACATGTCCACACCAGGTCAAAGTTGGTGGCGACATGTCCACACCAGGTCAAAGTTGATGGGGACATGTCCACATCAGGCCAAAGTTGATGGGGACATGTCCACACTAGGTCAAAGTTGATGGGGACATGTCCACACCAGGTCAAAGTTGATGGGGACATGTCCACATCAGGCCAAAGTTGATGGGGACATGTCCACACCTGGTCAAAGTTGATGGGGACATGTCCACACCAGGTCAAAGTTGATGGGGACATGTCCACACCAGGCGCAAGTTGATGGGGACATGTCCACACCAGGTCAAAGTTGATGGGGACATGTCCACACCAGGCGCAAGTTGATGGGGACATGTCCACACCAGGTCAAAGTTGGTGGCGACATGTCCACACCAGGTCAAAGTTGATGGGGACATGTCCACACCAGGTCAAAGATGGTGGCGACATGTCCACACCAGGTCAAAGTTGATGGGGACATGTCCACACCAGGCCAAAGTTGATGGGGACATGTCCACACCAGGTCAAAGTTGATGGAGACATGTCCACACCAGGCCAAATTAGGTGGGGACATGTCCACTGATACACTGATGCCGCAGGACATGTTTGTTTGTTTTTTTCCAGTGTTTTATTGTCATTACACTGTCACAAGTACAGAGCAACAAAATTCACTCTCTGCATTTAACCCATCCTCTTGGGACAAACAAATGATCTATTTTAAAGCATCCAGACGCTTCATCTTGTAGAGCTTTCTGCTTTTTGTCCTGAATCGTCTCCACTCCCCCTTTCTTCTTTTTGCCAACTATTTCCATGATTTTTTAGCCCATCCACTGAAATATAACCGAAGCAACTTCCACAGCATTCATATTCCTATGGATCAGCGCCACTCACCACATCAGCAGGGTTGCCAAATGTCACTGACTCACGTTTTCCAGCCCAAAAAATGTTCATAAACCGCCTGGATATACGAAATCTCACCCAATTTGAACCAAAGTCTATTAATCTCTTCGGCCATAAATCTAAAAAAAAAACATGTTTTACCCACAGACGGCCATCCTAAACTGCCAGATTGGGAAACTTTCCAACCTGGCAACAATGCACGTAAGACAGGAAATGTTAGCCTTTAGATGCACGCAATACCGTAACATATCTTTGCAAAATATCCAAACAGAAATTTGCCAAATATAAGAGGAACATGGTAGTTTGGTTTAAAGAAAGCATTTTAGTTTGATTATAATTTTGTTTTTTGCAAGAATTTTACAGTTTGAAGAAATAGAAAATGACATCATATGCCAACCATCACAAGGATGTAAATGACAAGGAAGGGTTATATATACTGCATGCATCATTTAGGTGGTTTACATTGCTTTACTTCTAGAGCTCCTTGAGTTATTTACTGTCACAGGTAGGAGCTTCGGCCGAGAGAAAGTGTTGGGGCCGGTATGATTTAAGGAGGGCCTTGCATGCTGACATTAGGGACCAGACTTATTCTGCTTCTAGTTCTTACTTTATGGGGCTGTTTTTCCCTGATGCGGATCATTCCACTCTGATTTTACTGTCCAGGGTACCAACATTGCTGCCGGTCGGGCCATCGGGGTTGCCGTAGCAACAGGGGTGCAAACAGAGATTGGGAAAATCCGCGATGAGATGGCCTCCACCGACCCTGAAAGAACGCCGCTGCAGCAGAAATTGGATCAGTTTGGGGAGCAGCTGTCTAAGGTCTGACTTTGACATTTTAACCCGATGCTGTGAAGTCTATAGAGTAATGATCTATGGCTCCTCGTGTCGTAATCTCCAGGTCATCAGCGTTATTTGTGTGGCTGTGTGGGCCATTAATGTGGGACACTTTAATGACCCGGTTCATGGAGGCAGCTGGCTGAGAGGAGCTGTTTATTACTTCAAGATCGCCGTTGCTCTGGCTGTGGCTGCTATTCCAGAAGGTAACGTCACACAAAGCTACATCCACTTCACACTTCAACTCTGTGTTTTCTGTTCTTCACTTCCTGCTGGAGTTATTTTGTCACCTTTGATGGGCTTCTGTGGTTGGATCTGAACTCAAGCAGTCTCTTCATTTCTCTCCCAGGCCTCCCAGCTGTCATCACCACCTGTCTGGCTCTGGGTACTCGAAGAATGGCCAGGAAGAACGCCATCGTCCGCAGCCTACCATCAGTGGAGACCCTGGGATGCACCTCTGTTATCTGCTCAGACAAAACAGGAACCCTGACAACAAACCAGATGTCAGTATGCAGGGTAAGCTGTGGATCCGACGTTTTCCTCACATTCTGTGTCTGTATGCAAATCAAAAACCCATCATTTAAATCTTTAGTTTATTCCTTTGTTTATGGAGGCAGGAATGTCCTGTATTAAAACTCTGAGTGACAGCAAGGCTGTTTGCTCCAGAACAAGTCAGCTGAGGTTAACATTAACCAGTCAGTGGTAGTTTAAAACCCAGAGCAAGATGATAAAGGTTACAGAACTTTTCATCTCCATGTTCAAAAGGCAACTTGTTGAAGCATTTTCATTTAGAAACGAACCTGGAGTATAAAATCCACCTGTCTTCAATTCAATTCAGTTTACTTCTATAGCGCCAATTAACAACACGTCATCTCAAGACACTTTACAGTTGAACCAGATCATCCAGTCGAATTGATACAAAGTTTTCTATCTAACGAAAACCAGTTGATTGCATTGACTCATTGACTCTTCAGCAATCCCTCACACTAAGCATGCTTGTACGACAGTGGAGAGGAAAAACTCCCTTTTAACAGGAAGAAACCTCCAGCAGAACCAGGCTCAGTGTGAGCGGCCATCTGCCGAGGCCCACTGGGGTTCAAGGAGACAGAGCAAGTCCTCTGACTGATGTGGATCTGTTGAAATGAGAAGGTCACATGGTCTCTCGGCCCTTCTCCCTCCTCAGCTGCTGATGCATCCAGACTTCTTCTCTCTTCAGCTGTTTGTTTCAGTCATACCACTAAACGCACTTCACCTTGCAACATGCATCAGACTAAATACTTCATCAAACCTTAGTCACGTGTCAGTGGAGCTATGTCCTCTGGCTGTCAGGACGGCTGCAACCTGGAGTAAGGTGACCGGATTTCTGCGCTCTAGTCTGGGGACATTTTTAGCTCATAGATAAAAATAAATACAAATACATACATTACATGAAAATTAAAGTAGGAAATGGGGACAAGGATGTTTTCATCTATTTTCACATTCATATTAAAACATCAAGTGTGAAATCCAGGAATATGCCTCTTCCTTTTGCTAAGATTAATAATATGAATCAATCAATAGTGTTAATTAGTGCCATCTGGTCATTCAGTCTTCTCTTTCTTTTTCCCTTCTGAACAACATAACATTGTGTTCAGGGACAGGCCAGTTTGCATTAATACAGAGTGGGAATTTCCCTTTTTCCATTCCATGCTAACATTATCCATCATGCTAACATTATCATCATGCTAACATCATCCATCCTGCTAACATTATCCATCATGCTCACATCATTCATCATGCTAACATCATCCATCATGCTAACATTATCCATCATGCTAACATCATCCATCCTGCTAACATTATCCATCATGCTAACATCATTCATCATGCTCACATCATTCATCATGCTAACATCATCCATCCTGCTAACATTATTCATCATGCTAACATTATCCATCATGCTAACATCATCCATCCTGCTAACATTATCCATCATGCTCACATCATTCATCATGCTAACATCATCCATCCTGCTAACATTATCCATCATGCTAACATCATCCATCCTGCTAACATTATCCATCATGCTCACATCATTCATCATGCTAACATCATCCATCCTGCTAACATTATTCATTATGCTAACATTATTCATCATGCTAACATTATCCATCATGCTAACATTATCCATCATGCTCACATCATTCATCATGCTAACATCATTCATCATGCTAACATCAGTCATCATGCTAACATTATCCATCATGCTAACATCATCCATCCTGCTAACATTATCCATCATGCTAACATCATCCATCCTGCTAACATTATCCATCATGCTAACATTATCCATCATGCTAACATCATCCATCCTGCTAACATTATCCATCATGCTAACATCATCCATCCTGCTAACATTATCCATCATGCTCACATCATTCATCATGCTAACATCATCCATCCTGCTAACATTATCCATTATGCTAACATCATCCATCCTGCTAACATTATCCATCATGCTAACATTATCCATCATGCTAACATCATCCATCCTGCTAACATTATCCATCATGCTAACATCATCCATCCTGCTAACATTATCCATCATGCTCACATCATTCATCATGCTAACATCATCCATCCTGCTAACATTATTCATTATGCTAACATTATTCATCATGCTAACATTATCCATCATGCTAACATTATCCATCATGCTCACATCATTCATCATGCTAACATCATTCATCATGCTAACATCAGTCATCATGCTAACATCAGTCATCATACTAACATCATCCATCCTGCTAACATTATTCATCATGTTAACATTATCCATCATGCTCACATCATTCAACATACTAACATTATTCATCATGCTAACATCAGTCATCATGCTAACATCATCCATAATGCTAACATTATTCATTTATTATCCATCATGCTCACATCATTCATCATGCTAACATCAGTCATCATGCTAAAATCATTCATCATGCTAACATCATTCATCATGCTAACATCAGTCATCATGCTAAAATCATTCATCAAGCTAACATCATTCATCATGCTAACATCAGTCATCATGCTAACATCATTCATCATGCTAAAATCATTCATCATGCTAACATCATTCATCATGCTAACATCAGTCATCATGCTAAAATCATTCATCAAGCTAACATCATTCATCAAGCTAACATCAGTCATCATGCTAAAATCATTCATCATGCTAACATCATTCATCATGCTAACATCAGTCATCATGCTAAAATCATTCATCAAGCTAACATCATTCATCATGCTAACATCAGTCATCATGCTCACATCATTCATCATGCTAACATCAGTCATCATGCTAAAATCATTCATCATGCTAACATTATTCATCATGCTAACATCAGTCATCATGCTCACATCAGTCATCATGCTCACATCATTCATCATGCTAACACCAGTCATCATGCTAACATTATTCATCATGCTAACATTATCCGTCATGCTAACATTATCCATCATGCTAACATCATTCATCATGGTAACATCAGTCATCATGCTAAAATCATTCATCATGCTAACATCATTCATCATGCTAACATCAGTCATCATGCTCACATCATTCATCATGCTAACACCAGTCATCATGCTAACATTATTCATCATGCTAACATTATCCATCATGCTAACATCATTCATCATGGTAACATCAGTCATCATGCTAACATCATTCATCATGCTAACATCAGTCATCATGCTCACATCATTCATCATGCTAACACCAGTCATCATGCTAACATTATTCATCATGCTAACATTATTCATCATGCTAACATTATCCATCATGCTAACATCATTCATCATGCTAACATCATTCATCATGCTAACATCAGTCATCATGCTAACATCATTCATCATGCTAACACCAGTAATCCTGCTAACATTATTCATCATGGTAACAGTATTCACAATGCTGACATCATTCATGATTCTGAAATCATTCATGATGGTAACATTATTCACGGTGCTGACATCATTCATGATTCCGACATCGTTCTTGATGCTAACATTATTCACGATGCTGACATCATTTATGATTCTGACATCATTCATGATTCCGACATCATTCATGATGCTAACATTATTCACGATGCCGACATCATTCATGATGCTGACATCATTCATGATGCTGACATCATTCATGATGCTAACAGTATTCACGATGCTGACATCATTTATGATTCTGACATCATTCATGATTCTGACATCATTCATGATGGTAACATCATTCATGATTCTGACATCGTTCATGATGCTGATATCATTCATGATTCTGACATCGTTAATGATGCTGATATCATTCATGATTCTGACATCGTTCATGATGCTGATATCATTCATGATTCTGACATCGTTCATGATGCTGATATTATTCATGATTCTGACATCATTCATGATTCTGACATCATTCATGATGGTAACATCATTCATGATTCTGACATCATTCATGATTCTGACATCATTCATGATGCTGACATCATTCATGATGCTAACAGTATTCACGATGCTGAGATCATTTATGATTCTGACATCATTCATGATGCTAACATTATTCACGATGCTGACATCATTTATGATTCTGACATCATTCATGATTCCGACATCATTCATGATGCTAACATTATTCACGATGCTGACATCATTTATGATTCTGACATCATTCATGATGCTGACATCATTCATGATGCTAACAGTATTCACGATGCTGACATCATTTATGATTCTGACATCATTCATGATTCTGACATCATTCATGATGGTAACATCATTCATGATTCTGACATCGTTCATGATGCTGATATCATTCATGATTCTGACATCGTTAATGATGCTGATATCATTCATGATTCTGACATCGTTCATGATGCTGATATCATTCATGATTCTGACATCGTTAATGATGCTGATATCATTCATGATTCTGACATCGTTCATGATGCTGATATCATTCATGATTCTGACATTGTTCATGATGCTGATATCATTCATGATTCTGACATCGTTCATGATGCTGATATCATTCATGATTCTGACATCGTTCATGATGCTGATATCATTCATGATTCTGACATCATTCATGATGGTAACATCATTCATGATTCTGACATCGTTCATGATGCTGATATCATTCATGATTCTGACATCGTTCATGATGCTGATATCATTCATGATTCTGACATCATTCATGATGGTAACATCATTCATGATTCTGACATCATTCATGATTCTGACAGTATTCACGATGCTGAGATCATTTATGATTCTGACATCATTCATGATGCTGACATCATTCATGATGCTAACAGTATTCACGATGCTGACATCATTTATGATTCTGACATCATTCATGATGCTAACAATATTGACGATGCTGACATCAGTTATGATTCTGACATCATTCATGATTCTGACATCATTCATGATGGTAACATCATTCATGATTCTGACATCGTTCATGATGCTGATATCATTCATGATTCTGACATCATTCATGATGGTAACATCATTCATGATTCTGACATCGTTCATGATGCTGACATCATTCATGATTCTGACATCGTTCATGATGCTGACATCATTCATGATGCTAACAGTATTCACGATGTTGACATCATTTATGATTCTGACATCATTCATGATTCTGACATCATTCATGAAGGTAACATCATTCAAGATTCTGACATCGTTCATGATGCTGATATCATTCATGATTCTGACATCATTCATGATTCTGACATCATTCATGATTCTGACATCATTCATAATGGTAACATCTAGGGTTGTCACGATACTAAACTTTTCAACTCGATACCGATACTAAATAAAATGTTCGATACTCGATACCCTTTTCGATACCACAACAATAAAAACAAAGACTCTAAAATTCAACAGAAATATTTTCATTACTAAAAAAATACAAGAAATAAATAAAAAAACAATAAGAATAATATTTTGAGGTTGTATGCTGTGCACAATATTAAGCAAGCTTGATAAAAAACTTACAAAATTAAAATTAAGTGTTTCTTCGTTGTCAATGTTTTGCAGACATAACAATGACACTGGCCAAACCAGTTAAACAAAAATAATTCTCAGCAGCTGCACCTGTTACAAAAAAAGTCTGAAACTGAAAAATGCACAGAATTATTCAATCACACAGTGTTCAGAAAGTGCATTTTCCACTATTCTGCACTTTAAATGGCTGTGTCGATACTTTTGAAAATGAGTATTGTATCCGGATACAACGTTTCAGTATCGATACTTTTTTGAGTATCGATACTTTTGACAACCCTAGTAACATCATTCTAACCTGACAACAGCCAGATGCATGTCTCGCTCCGCCTAGCTCCACTCACATACATCTGGGAACCCGCCATAGGAATTGCCTTCACTGAAGGCTGGGCCTTATCAAAACTCCTTTCATATGATTGGATAAGCCACTTGTCTGTCATCTTTATCGACGTGCTATTTCAACCACTCACACCGAAGCTAACCCGTGACGCTGTGAGAGGAGCCTTCAAAGCCGTTCTCTGATGTTCTTTTAATGAAATAATATCAGATAGATTGGACAACACAGAGGAAATAGCAGCATCAATGCTAACGCTTGCTGCCTCGATGCGAGCCGCCATTGTTGTTGGAATCTCACGCTCGCTTCTCCACTACGTCACATCCAGGAAACACCCGCCCTGCGTCCTGATTGGCCAGACCATAAATTTGGTTGGGGAAATCACTTTCAATGAGCGATGTCCCAGATGTATGAGTGGAGCTAGGCGGAGCGAGACATGCATCTGGCTGTTGTCAGGTTAACATCATTCATGATTCTGACATCATTCATGATTCTGACATCGTTCATGATGCTGATATTCATGATTCTGACATCATTCATGTATTTTGTCTTATTTTTATGTTTGCTGTGTTTTCTGTATTTGCCGTGCATTTATGTATTTGGAGAGTTTTTCACTGCAAAGCTTTGTCATATTATTTCTTCTTATGAAGCAAAGCTTTAACATGGCCTTTAAAACAAATGCATAAAACTAACACTACTGAACTAATCAGCTGCTCCTCTGTCTGTGTTCTTTGCCGGTGTTTAGATGTTCGTAGTAGAGAGCGCATCAGGAGAGCGTTGCTGCCTGAACGAGTTCTCTGTGACTGGATCTACCTATGCCCCTGAGGGGGAGGTGTGAGTGTATTAACCTTGAGCTCTTATATTAACCTGGGGATGTCTGTGTGCGCTGAGTCATTGTTTAACAAATGGTTGCTCTTTGTCACTGCTTTGCCTTTTCTTCTGATATCTGATTTTCATCTCTGCAGTTACAAGGATGGTTTAGTGGTGAAATGTGGTCAGTACGATGGCCTGGTGGAGATGGCCTCCATCTGTGCTCTATGCAATGACTCATCACTAGACTACAATGAGGTAACCACTGCTAACATCGCCATGGCGACTGCTCCTTCACTGATGACTAAACCTGCATCATGAAGTCAGTATTGACCAGCTCGGATGCATCCATCTTTCTCTGTTCCTCCAGACGAAGGGCGTTTACGAGAAGGTTGGCGAAGCGACAGAGACTGCCCTCTGCTGCCTGGTGGAGAAAATGAACGTGTTTGATATGGATCTGCAGGGATTGAGCTGTGCTGAGAGAGCTACAGCCTGTTGCTCTGTAAGCTTTGTCCATCCTTCTCTGTTTTATGCTATCAGCTCTGGATATTAACACATGAAGAAATTTTTTTTTTATGTTAAATGTATAAACAAAGCATAGAATCTGGGCATGATAGACAGATCGACCCAGTTGATCCATATCAACTGGGTTATAAAGTTTGTCTTTGTTATGTCAGAAAAACATAGTTAGGCATTTGTCTCAATTAGGCTGCACTGGTTTTTAAAACAGAGACAACAACTTACAAAAATCATTATCATCATCATCATCATTATCAGCATCACCATCATCATCACCATCATCATCTTTCTTCAGTGATAAACTTTGTTGGTCTCTGATAATGAAGTAAAGCAAGTGAAAGTCTCATTCACCAGTGAAAGCAAACTTTAAATTCCTAATACTTTGTTCAAATCATAAAGGGCCTACTAGGTATTTAATGTATAATGTGTTTGGTGCGTGCTTAAGGAAAGAGTTTACCGGGTTCTCTAATAGACAAAACAAGTTTTTACTTGTTTAATGCAAAGATCAATAACTCATTCCTCTCTAAAGCAAACCCCCGCTGGGGGAGGAAGGTCACAGTGTTGTTTTCTCTGCTCAGATATGGTCAGAGTATCTTTTGGTCGTTTAATTTTCCTTTTACAAAAGGATATCAAAAAGCAAGTAGCTGTTTCAATTTTCTTTTAGCATATAAAAGTTAAAGGATTTCTCTCTTTTTCTCCTGTTTAAAAGGAAAGAGCGAAAAGTCAGAAAAGATTTTGAGTGAAAATGAAAAGTGAAATTCGTGTTAAACAGCAAAAAGACCTTCTTTCTTTTTACGCGTTGACAACAGACCTTTGTCGTTGGTCAGTGAACCTCCTGACTCAGGCAGCTGTCAGTGAGTCTCTACAGTCATTCCTCTAACCACTGCCTCACCTTTGGGCTGTATCCTCCACCCTCTGCTCTACACTACACTCCTGCACATTGGCTCTGCTAAACAAATAAGTAGGTGGAGGAATAGGAAAATGGTCATGGACTGCAGGAGAGTAGATCCCACTCCCACCTCCTGTTTGAAGGAGAAGCTGCCAAGACGGTCCACAGCATGAAGTACCTGAACAGTCAGCATTGCCTACCAACACGAAGACTCTCTAAGGAGGATAAAGCAGACTGTTCCCCACAGTCCTCACAGCATTCTACAGTGTGTGCTGGAGACAATCCCTCGCCTCCTCCATCACCTCCTGGTATGTAAACAGTTGGACAGGAAGGCCGCGCAGAGGGTGGCGGCAATAGCACAGAAGAAACCTTCTGCAGCCTGTTGTCCATGGAGGACATGCAGAGTAGCAGGAGAGCGGCCCACTTTCTGGGGTCACTTTCAGCCATTCTGCACAAGGACGGGTCCGAGGCTCTTCAGCATCAGGGACAAAACTAAAAGACTGGATCACCATACCTGCAATCCCTTACTGCTGTTAAAAAAGGTTAGAAAACAATCCACTGGACTTTGTTTGAAGTTTGAAGACGTTTCACTTCCCGTCTAGGAAGTTTTTTCAATTTAAATGCCCACCTTTCAGAGACATAGACAGGTATGGGGCATTGCAGGCTAACAAAGAAGCCAAACGATCCCCATTCCAAAGGGGTGGACCCGTTTGTCTGTCTCAATTTTAATGTTTTCTAAACCAAAACCAGGCTTTGTTGGGCTGCTGGATAAAACCTGGAACTCAACGCTATTCCTGACATTTTGAATAGAAAAAGCTCCCTGGACTGGAAGAGAAACGTCTTCAAACTCAGAAACAAAGTCCAGTGGATTCTTTTCTAATATTTTTGGAATGACTGAGAATATTCACTATCACTACTGCTGGTGTTTGTATTATTATATCTATTTATCCTTTTAACTTTTTAATCTATTTTAATGCACTTTGATGTTCTTCATGCTTTAATTGAGGAGTAGCATCAGCAGCTCAGGTCTCTGCCATTTACAAACACTTTGTACCACAGGAATATAAAAATATGTGGTGTCGGAATTTTAATCTGTTTTATAAGTATTAGGGCCAGGCTAGAGATTTTTTTTTTCTATTTCGAGAATAAAGTCGTAACATTACTGTCATGATGCGATGGTTTTACTAGCCCAAATGCAGACTCACAGACACAGAGGGAGGATTAAAGTCCAGTATTTAATTGGAACCAGTTGAAAGACTGACAGGTTGCAAATTCAGACAGGCATGGTGGCACAGGTAAAACACAACGATCCAGCTCAGAGGGGAGGTCACACTCAGCTTATATAGGAAAGGCTTCCTTAATCAGCAAATAGACAACAGCTGTCCATGCTGAGCCAAAGCTCCCCAGGCTGGATCCACGGCGCCCTCTGGTGGGCAAAGCCCCGGATCCTGACAGTACCCCCCCCTCAAGGGCGGATTCCAGACGCCCCAAAGAAAAAAAAAAAACAACTCGCCCATGGAGGGCGAAGGGCGAACCAGGGATGCCAGGAAGAGTCTCAGGTGGCCGGCCATGAAACCGGCAGCAGAGCAGAGTCTCAGAAGCTGCAGGAGCCTTGGAGGAGGACTTCACCTCCGCTTCAGCAGGAAGCACCGGGAGAAACTCTGTCTCCGCTTCAGCAAGAAGCCCCGGGAAGGACGCCGTCTCCGCTCCCGCTGCTCTGCAACAGGTCCGCCCACTACGGCTCCACATCCAGAGCAGTGGAAGCCGCCGACTGCGGCTCCACCTCAGGAACAGAGGGATCCACCGATTGTGGCTCCACCTCCGGAGTCTCTGGAAGGCGCAGAGCAGGCTCAGGGGTCTCCTAGACGGCACAGAGCGGGCTCTCCAGGAGCGCGTAGAAGGAGTCTGCTGGGCTAGTCTGTTGGCTGGATCGTTCTGTCATGATGCGATGGTTTTACTAGCCCAAATGCAGACTCACAGACACAGAGGGAGGATTAAAGTCCAGTATTTAATTGGAACCAGTTGACAGACTGACAGGTTGCAAATTCAGACAGGCATGGTGGCACAGGTAAAACACAACGATCCAGCTCAGAGGGGAGCTCACACTCAGCTTATATAGGAAAGGCTTCCTTAATCAGCAAATAGACAACAGCTGTCCATGCTGAGTCAAAGCTCCCCAGGCTGGATCCACGGCGCCCTCTGGTGGGCAAAGCCCCGGATCCTGACAATTACGAGAATAAAGCCGTAACATTACGAGAATAAAGCCGTAATATTTCGAGAATAAAGCCGTAATATTTCGAGAACAAAGTCGTAACATTACAAGAATAAAGTCGTGACATTACGAGAATAAGGTTGTGACATTACGAGAATAAAGTCATGACATTATGAGAATTAAGTTGTGACATTACGAGAATAAAGTCATGACATTATGAGAATTAAGTTGTGACATTACTAGAACAAAGTCGTAATATTACGAGAATAAAGCCGTAACATTATGTGAATAAAGCCGTAATATTACGAGAATAAATTCCTAACATTACGACAATAAAGTTGTGACATTACAAGAATAAAGTCATGACATTATGACAATGAAGTTGTGACATTACTAGAACAAAGTCGTAATATAACGAGAATAAAGTCCTAACATTACGTGAACAAAGTCGTAATATTACGAGAATAAAGCCATAACATTACGAGAATAAAGTCCTAACATTACGAGAATAAAGTTGTAATATTACGAGAATAAAGTCGGAATATTACGAGAACAAAATCATCAACAACCTGTTTCAGAAAGAAAGCTTGGAGCTCTGCCCAACAGATGACTGCCGACCAGCTCCATCAATCAGCAACCTGATTTCACTCTGAAATTCTGCCCAGTTTAATGCTGGGAATGCTGGAAAGACAGTGATTCCTGTAGGAGTTGTCATAAAATAAAACTTATCATAATTTTACGACTTTATTCTCATATTTTTACGACTTTATTCTTGAAAAGCATAACCTATTTTATTTATTGTTTTCATTTGTTTCACGTTCGTCCTTTCAGATGATTAAACAGCTGATGAAGAAGGAGCTGACTCTAGAGTTTTCCAGAGACAGGAAGTCCATGTCTGTGTTCTGCTTCCCCAATAAACTGTCCCCGTCTGCCTCTGGGGCTAAGATGTTCGTGAAGGTCAGTTCCACCTCATGTCTGTTCATCTGCTGCCTCCAAACAGACCTCGTTGGTCTTCATGGGTCTTGCTGTGTCTCGTTCCCCCAGGGGGCTCCAGAGAGCCTGTTGGAACGCTGCAGTCACATCCGGGTCAGCGGTTCTGGCCGTGTACCTATGAGCCCGGCTGTTCGAGAGCAGCTCCAGTCTACCATACGAGAGTGGGGCTCAGGACGAGACATGCTGCGGTGCCTTGCCATGGCAACCAGGGACACCCCACCTGATATCCATTCCCTCAACCTGGAGAACTCAGCAGGCTTTGTGGACTACGAGGTGCTGATGATAGTCTAGGCTGAGCTCAGGGTCAGGTTCTGATGGACCGATTAGTTTCTAACACATTAATCCTACTTATTAACAGCATACAGCGAAATAAATCAGAACCCGGCCTCCTTCTCTTCTTTCATCTTTGCTTCTGTCTGCTTCTCAGTCGGATCTGACCTTTGTTGGCTGTGTGGGGATGCTGGACCCCCCCAGGAAAGAGGTCCTGGGAGCAGTTCAGATGTGTCGGCGTGCTGGCATACGGGTCATCATGATCACAGGTTTGTGTGGCATTGATCTCCCTATGAGTGGATAAAGGCTGATCTAACCCTAAACACAGAGGCCAGTTTAAACGATGGAAACCAGACCAACCAACAGAGACCTCAGCCTCCATTACTGACACCCCTGATGCTCCCTACTCATGCAATGATTGGTCAATGTTTGGTCTTTAGGATCAACAGTATTTTAAACCAAAGTAACTGGATGCAGTAGGTCTAACAGAAGACTATACCCAACAAAGCCATTGTGTTCTTGGACATTAGATTGTCTTTCCAGTTCATTTGCAGCCTTTCTCCTCCTCAGTTCTACAGAAGAACAAACAAACAAGTTTTGGATGGAAAATAAATATATAATAAATAATTATTAGAAATGATTAGATTCTGAAACAGTTTGGAGCTGAAGGCATCATTAGTGGAGCCGTATTAGTCAGGAGACCAGCGACTAAGCAGTGAAAACATGAACCACGACAGGATGGGTCTGAAATGCTCACATTCAGGGGCTCATTTTTGTTTCTATGGGATGGAAGTCGCTGTGTCCTCCATATGTAGAATAGAAATATAAAATAGAATTCTACTTTATTTTCGTTACACTGTCACTAGTATGAAATTCACATCTGCACCTAACCCTTGGGGAGCAGTGGGCTGCCATTGTGCAGCGCCCAGGGAGCAGTGTGGGGTTAAGGGTCTTGCTCAGGGACCCAGAGTGGCAGTCTGGGGGAGCCTCTGGGATCCAAGCTCTACGCCCTAACCACTCCCTTAATATGTCTGCAATAAGTTTAGGTTACTAGACAGAGCAACCGTCAGAGACAACACGCAGGTCTGGAAACTCTGGAGGACATTACAAAAATAAAACGGGGAAACATCTAAGATCTGCAGTCAAAGGCTGTCTAGGGTGAACTCTGGACCGCCTGCAGGAGTAAGGATCCAATTAGGACTGAAACAATTCATCTGATGAATCGATTAAGGAAATAATCTTCAACTAATTTAGTAATTTATTCATTGTTAACGGAAGTATTAGAGACTCTAAAATGTGTCTGTAGCTGACAGAGCGACCCACTTAGAGCAGGAGTTATACCAAGAATGTAAAAAACATATAAAAATTTTGCTTTTTAGATAAAAATAAAAACTCATCAGTCAATCTGCTCTACCCAGAACTTCACAAGTGGAAAAGTTTGAGTTTCACCTGGTTTAATTTCATAAAACTTCTCCGGCTGTTGGAGTTTTAATCAGTTAATCAAAACGAATTGATCGATTAATCGATTTGCAAAATCAGCCCAGGATCCAATGATCATGATGTGTGTTTGACACAAAAGCAACATTTACATCCGCAGGTCGATGGCAGCAGCATCCTGTGGGCTTTTCAGCTCTGACTCCTGGAGACCTCTTACAATTTATTCTGAGCCGATAATCAAACGATCAGTTTATGTAAAATAAAATATAAAAGAAAAAAAAAATAGAATTCAGCCTCTCAGCAGTGTGAAGAACAGACGCAGGTTTCTAAGAACCAGAAACTATCATCTCCTCTCCCTCCTCCATCCAGGGGACAACAAGGGGACGGCCCTGTCCATCTGCAGGAGAGTGGGCATCATCACGGAGCAGGAGGAGGAGCGCGAGGTCGGGGGGGCGATTGGGGGGCTGACAGGCAGGGAGTTTGATGAGTTGCCCCCTCATCTGCAGCGCCAGGCCTGCCGGAGCGTTCGCTGCTTTGCCCGCGTGGAACCGGCCCACAAAAGTCGCATCGTGGAGTATCTGCAGAGCCTGAGTGACATCACAGCCATGGTGAGAGCGTCTTGTTCCACTGCAGAAAAGATGGCCTATCAGAAATGCAGTTTAATCCATAAACTGGTTTAAACGGATAATGATGCTGATTCTGTCTCCTCCACCATCGTCACTGTTTCTCTGGCTCCTCCTCTTCCATGGTCCCAGACAGGCGATGGCGTCAACGATGCTCCCGCCCTGAAGAAGGCAGAGATCGGCATCGCCATGGGCAGCGGCACGGCTGTCGCCAAGTCAGCCTCAGAGATGATCCTGGCAGATGACAACTTCTCCACCATTGTGGCTGCTGTGGAGGAGGGCAGAGCCATCTACAACAACATGAAGCAGTTCATCCGATACCTCATCTCGTCCAACATCGGGGAGGTGGTCTGGTTAGTGGGACGGATTTCTGTGCCAATAAACCAAAGACTGAACCGCGGTGTGTCAGGTGAAAACCTGCTGTCCTCTTGTTGATCCCTCAGCATTTTCCTGACTGCTGCCCTGGGCATGCCAGAAGCTCTGATCCCGGTCCAGCTGCTGTGGGTCAACCTGGTCACTGACGGTTTCCCAGCAACCGCTCTGGGCTTCAACCCTCCAGACTTGGACATCATGTCTCGTCCTCCGCGGTCTCCCAAGGAGCCGCTGATCTCCAGCTGGCTGTTCTGCCGCTACCTCATCATCGGGTGTAAGTCAGCGGCCTGGACCTCGGCTGTCTCTAGATTAGATGGTGATGAGCAGCGTGTTTGTTCTTTGGTGGGTAGGACCATCTCCTAACTCTCTGTTTTCATGCAGGTTATGTTGGAGCAGCCACCGTGGGAGCTGCTGCCTGGTGGTTCATGGCTGCCCATGACGGGCCAAAGCTTTCCTTCTATCAGCTGGTAAACCGCCCAGTTAAACTCCAGATAAACATCCCAATTCAATTCAGTTTATTTCTATAGCGCCAATTCACAACATGTCATCCCGAGGCACTTTACAGTTCACCAGATCATACAGTATGATTGTTTCAAAGTTTTCATTGACTCATTGACTCTTCAGCAATCCCTCACACTAAGCATGCTTGTAGCGACAGTGGAGAGGAAAAACTCCCTTTGAACAGGAAGAAACCTCCAGCAGAACCAGGCTCAGTGTGAGCGGCCATCTGCTGAGGCCGACTGGGGTTCAAGGAGACAGAAGCAGACATAGAAAAAGAAGCATAGATACAAAAGGCAACTGTCTGTCACGATTTATTTAAGGATCTGACCCAAAATGCAGTAAACCACTCAGAGAGCAAAGTTTGAACAGGGTTATTGATAAAACCAGCAGGGGTTGGATTCAGGAAACTGTGTACTCAGAGGGCTGGTGAACTGGAACTGAAAGGGAGGAGGGAAGTACACAGAGGTGAGTTCAGGAACCGTGGGAATCTTGAAAGCAGTGGGGAAAATGCTAGTGAGGGACTCACGTTAGGGGGGGGGGTTATTCTCTCACTAGGATCCAGTCTGTGTGGGTTGATCAGAGAAGAGGGAACATGTTGAAGAGTGGACAGGTAGACATTCTTTGGACCGGGAGGAGCACTGGAGCGGACTGTCACTTGGATTTCCATGAGGGACTTGAACAGCACATGTGGAGGTTTCTCCCCTGCTCAGTGTGAACTTGGTAAACAATCCTTCCAGGGGAAGAAGGCCAAACATCCAGTACGCAGGAGGACTTCCTGCCAAAGGCAAAGACAAAAAAAAACAAGGTTAGACTCAGAGAGACAAAGACTCAGGTTAGACTCTGCTAATCTAAGCATGGCTAGAGTACCCAAAACTGTGTTTGCCAGTTTTGGGTACTCTAGCGTCGAGGTAGTGACAGTCCACTGCTTAAGTGCTCCTCCAGATAATGATCCAAAGAGCCGCAGGTGTGCAGAGAGGACCAACATTGACAGGGCGCCACCTGGTGGTGGAGGAAGAGACAGACACAAAACAGACTACACAAACTGGATTCCTGAAACTGTCAACCAGCTCCACAGGCGGCCCCGTCCAGGAAACACACAGCCAGGCAGACGAGCTCCGAGCCAGCTCCCATGCCAGAGGATGAAGAGAGCACATGCAGTTAGTCACAGGAGAAAAGAGATAGAATGAAGCTGAATGATGAAATAGGTATAGGGTCCTATAGAGATAGCTCAGGATAACCTGAGCCACTCTAACTATAAGCTTTATTAAAAAGGAAAGTTTTAAGCCTAGCCTTAAAAGTAGACAGGGTGTCTGCCTCACGGACTAAAACTGGTAGTTGGTTCCACAGGAGAGGAGCCTGATAACTAAAAGATCTGCCTCCCATTCTACTTTTAGAAATTCTAGGAACCAATAGTAAACCTGCTGATTGAGAGCGAAGTGCTCTGTTAGGAACATAAGGAACAATCAGATCTCTGATATCAGATGGAGCTTGGCCATTTAAGGCTTTATATGTGAGAAGGAGGATTTTAAATTCTATTCTGGATTTAACAGGAAGCCAATGAAGAGAAGTTCTCTCTGCTGTCACTGGTTCAGCTTTGAAGAACCTTTCTGAGCAGAGCGCTGCGGTTGGTGTTCAGGTTACCTCAGTGGAAATGCTGCACTGGGTGTTTGAGCATAAAGTCCAAATCTGGGAGCAGAGGAGGATGATGTGTTTATTCAACAAGGGCAGTTTGATCTGCTGAAGCTGCCATGAAACGGGCTCATCATCTGTCAGTATGTAGTAAACCCATGACAGGGAAGGAGGAAGACCAAGAACCTTCACTGTTAGCGTGAAAATCCCGACAGAAGAAAACCAGAATCCTAAACCTAAATCATAAGATCGCTTTCCTCTAAAAGTCTACTAGTTAATGACTTGATTTGTGATAATCACATTGACTTGTTTTGCCTTACAGAAACCTGGCTGCAGCAAGAGGATTATGTGAGCATAAATGAGGCAACTCCTTCAAGCTATTTAAATTTTCACATCCCCAGAAGTTCTGGGCGAGGAGGAGGAGTAGCAACAATCTTCCAGTCTGACTTACTGATTACTCCCAAAACAGTTAATACCTACAACTCTTTTGAACATTTAACCCTTAATTTCCCTGATCCAAATTTCAAGGCAAGAAAACCTCTTCTTTTTGTAACTTTGTATCGTCCACCAGGTCCTTACTCTGAATTTTTAGATGAGTTTTCAGAGTTCCTTTCTGATTTGGTATTAAATACTGACAGGGTCATCATAGTGGGAGATTTTAACATCCATGCTGACATTGAAGGCGATAGCTTAAGAGCAGCCTTTAATGCTATCTTAGACACTATTGGCTTTGTTCAAAATGTGAATAGTCCCACGCATTCTCATCTTCATACTTTGGATCTTGTGCTGACATACGGCATAGAATGTGAAGAAATAACAGTATTTCCTCACAACCCTGTCCTCTCTGACCACTTTCTAATAACCTTCAGGATTACTTTAACAGAGTTCTCCTCCCCCAAAAGAAGGTTCAATTTTAGTAGATCTTTATCAGATAGTGCAGTTATAAATTTTAAAGAATCTGCTTCACTTTCTCTCTCCTCTGTGTCACTGAGCAGTGCTGCAGAGTGCAAAAGTTTAGCTTATTCCCCTTCACAGGTTGATGATTTTGTTGATGGGGTTGCTAGTTCTCTGCGTATTGCCTTAGACAACGCAGCTCCTTTGAAAATGAAAACCGTTAAAAATAGAAAGCTTGCTCCTTGGTTTAATGCAGAGCTGCGTACTTTGAAGCAAAATGCTAGGAAACTGGAGAGAAAATATCGCTCCACAGGCCTGCGAGAGTCCTTCCTAGTCTGGAAAAATGGTTTACTGCTGTATAAGAGGACCCTTTGTAAAGCAAGAGCAGCATACTTCTCCTCATTAATAGAGGAGAATAAGAATAATCCTAGATTTCTTTTTAATACAGTTGCCAAACTCACCCAGAGCCATAGCTCTGTTGAACCGTCCATTCCACCTGCTCTTAGCAGCAATGACTTTATGGGATTCTTTATAAATAAGATTGATCTTATTAAAAATAAGATCATAAGCACTCCTCTATCCGCGATTGTACCTGAGGTAGTCATGGAATCTGAACTGGGTTTAGACTGCTTTGATCCAGTTGAACTCTCTGAATTAGCAAAATTATTGTCTTCATCTAAGCCTTCAACTTGTATGTTAGATCCAGTTCCAACCAGGTTATTTAAGGAGGTATTCCCTTTGATCTCCTCCTCCATTTTAGATGTGATTAATCTATCTCTGTTACAGGGATATGTACCTAAAGCTTTTAAGGTTGCTGTAATTAAACCTCTGCTTAAGAAACCGTCTCTTGACCCAGATGACTTGGTCAATTATAGACCTATATCCAATCTTCCTTTCTTATCCAAAATTCTTGAGAAAGTAGTTGCCAAACAAGTTTGCGATCACTTCCACCATAATGAACTTTTTGAAGAGTTTCAGTCTGGCTTTAGAGCTCATCATAGCACTGAAACAGCTCTGGTGAAAGTCACTAATGATATTCTCATGGCCTCAGATAATGGACTTGTATCTGTGCTCGTCCTGTTGGATCTTAGTGCTGCATTTGATACAGTTGACCATAATATTCTTTTAGAAAGACTTGAATATTTTGTTGGAATTAAAGGAACAGCACTAGACTGGTTTAAATCTTATCTATCTGATCGAATTCAGTTTGTTCATGTTAATGATAGATCTTCAACACGCTCAAAGGTTACCTGTGGAGTACCACAGGGATCAGTGCTAGGACCAATTCTCTTTACTTTATACATGCTCCCAATTGGTAGAATTATTAGACAGCATGGGATTAATTTCCACTGTTATGCTGATGATACCCAGCTATATCTGTCTATAAATCCAGATGAAGCTAACCCATTACATAGATTACAGGCATGTCTTGAAGACATAAAAACCTGGATGACTCTTAACTTTCTGCTTCTGAATGCAGACAAAACAGAAGTTATAGTCTTTGGACCAGAGTCTCTGAAAAAGAAACTGATTAGCCAGTCACTTCATTTGGATGGGATTAAACTGATTTCAGATAATAAAGTAAAAAATCTTGGTGTTGTTTTTGATCAGGACCTGTCATTTAAATCCCACATCAAAGAGGTTTCTAGAATTTCCTTCTTTCATCTGAGGAACATTGCAAAAATTAGAAATATCCTGTCCAGGGGTGATGCTGAGAAACTAGTCCATGCATTTGTTACTTCAAGGCTGGACTATTGTAATTCTTTACTATCAGGAAGTCCACAAACTGTAGTTAAAAGCCTTCAGCTGATCCAAAATGCTGCAGCCAGAGTTCTAATGAAAATGAAAAAGAGAGATCATATCTCGCCTATCCTGGCTTCTCTTCATTGGCTTCCTGTTAAATCAAGAATAGAATTTAAAATCCTCCTTCTCACATATAAAGCCTTAAATGGCCAAGCTCCATCTTATATCAGAGATCTGATTGTTCCTTATGTTCCTAACAGAGCACTTCGCTCTCAATCTGCAGGTTTACTAGTGGTTCCTAGAATTTCTAAAAGTAGAATGGGAGGCAGATCTTTTAGTTATCAGGCTCCTCTCCTGTGGAACCAACTACCAGTTTTAGTCCGTGAGGCAGACACCCTGTCTACTTTTAAGGCTAGGCTTAAAACTTTCCTTTTTGATAAAGCTTATAGTTAGAGATAGCTCAGGTTATCCTGAGCTATCTCTATAGTTATGCTGCTATAGGCTTAGACTTTTGGAGGACATAGGGACCCCCATTTCATCATTCTGCTTCATTCTCTCTCTGTTCTCCTATTCTGCAGAATCTGTTAGTTCAATCTCTAACCTTCTGCTCTCTCTGCTTTTCCTCAGAGTAGCTTTGCCTCGTCTGTTCCTGTTTGGCTGTGACGTCATCCTGGAAAGAAACATCAGCTGTGCTGCTTCTATCAACACCCTTGTTTATAGATGTTGGAGATCGGCCTGTTTTCCAGTGTGGTCCTGTTTCTCTGACCGTGACTGAGTGGATGTGCTTTCTTCGTCCTCTGGCATGGGAGCTGCCTTGGAGCTCGTCTGCCTGGCTGTGTGTTTCCTGGACGGGGCCGCCTTTTACAGCTGCTTTTTGTATCTCTGCTTCTGTCTCCTTGAACCCCAGTCGGCCTCGGCAGATGGCCGCTCACACTGAGCCTGGTTCTGCTGGAGGTTTCTTCCTGTTAAAAGGGAGTTTTTCCTCTCCACTGTCGCTACAAGCATGCTTAGTGTGGGGGATTGTATTTGAGTCAATGAGTCAATGCAATCAACTGGTTTTCCTTAGATAGAAAACTTTGTATCAATTTGATCTGGTTGAACTGTAAAGTGCCTTGAGATGACATGTGTTGTGAATTTGGCGCTATATAAATAAACTGAATTGAATTGAATTGAATTAAACAATTCAGTCCGCTGGATCCTCAGCAATGACTTCCTTCCAGACTCCCTGGACCCACAAAGCAGAAACAGTAGCTTCATTTACACTGACACAAGTAATCAGACTGAAGGCCCGATCAGATTAAAAAACTTTCATATAAACATGTCAGACTGACGATCGGCGTCACACCCGCTGGCATGTTAGACACTAGCACTATCAGCGTGAAGTTTTTCTGAAGATTTGGCTTAAATTATTTAATGATTGAACACTGGGTACATGTAAACACACGTGATGAACGGGTCATTTTATTCAGCGTCCACCTAAGCAGGGAGGTCTAGATCGGATCGGGAATATATTTTTTAAACAAATAGATAATTTCTTACTTTCTGTTTGTTTTATTGGAAACAGTCTTGCAGTTATTGGTCATAAGGGATTGAAGGTTGGTTCACCAGCAGAAGTTCTCCACAAAATCATTAAACAACATAACAAAGAAACATTTATTATTGATGAAAATATAAAGCATGTGATTAAAGTAAGTGAGCCCAGCTGTTGGTAGGGTGCTAACGTTAGCATGTGCTGTTCTTCACCCCTGTCCCACAGTCCCATTATCTCCAGTGCACTGAGGCCCACCTAGAGTTTGCAGGTGTGCAGTGCTCAGTCTTTGAGTCTCCGTATCCCATGACGATGGCTCTGTCTGTGCTGGTCACCATAGAAATGTGCAACGCCTTGAACAGGTAGGACGGTAGCAAAGCCCCAGTTTTAGCTGAACGGTTAACTGAAGGCATCTAGTTCCTTCAGGTTTTTATCTCAGCTGATCAGAACCATGTGTTCTCTGGTTCTGCAGTCTTTCAGAGAACCAGTCTCTGCTAAAGATGCCTCCGTGGTCAAACCCCTGGCTGGTGGGGGCCATCTTCCTCTCCATGTCTCTTCACTTCCTCATCCTGTATGTGGATCCTCTGCCGGTGAGAATCACACAAAGCTCTCCAGATGTTTTAGGAGAACAACAGCCAGCACGCTCTGTTTGTGTCCACAGGTGATTTTCCAGATCCGTCCTCTGTCCTGGACTCAGTGGGTGGTGGTCTTGAAGCTGTCGCTGCCCGTCATCCTGATGGATGAGGCTCTCAAGTTTCTGGCCCGGAACTACATAGAGCCAGGAAGCCAGGTGCTGATGGGATGAGATCCTTCTACCCAGGCTTTTCATCGCATGTCGTCTGATCTTTTTTAACCTGATTCCCCTTTCAGTCGCTAGAGGAGGAGGAGCTGCAGAGGACGTGGGCCAGCATGGGACTGGTGGCCTCCAGCGTGTCCAGGCTCCGTCAGGCGCTGAGGGGCCTGTCCTGGGCGTTCATCCTGATTTCTGCACCGCTGCTGATCTGGATCTTCAGCCTGGACTCCGACATCACCAACATCTTCTGGGAGTGAGATGGGAGGATGGGAGGTGGCCTCCTGACTCACAGGAGATCAAGAAGGGGGGGGGGGGGGGGGGGGGGGGGGGGGGGGGTTAGTCACATGGAACACAGAATAGTCAGTCCACACGTTTCCCTTAAGAATAAGAAGTGTTTTTCTTGTCCTGTGTTGCTGCTGCAGCCTTATAGTCTATAGAGAGGACATGGAGAGGCGGTCCTCAGGGGACATGCAGCCTGTTCTGGAAGCAGCTGAGTCTTTAAGGCTTCTCTGTGTCTGAAGGATCCAGACTGCAGCAGGTTTCTCTTCTTTTTAGATGTTGATGAGTCCCCATCATGTTCCCATGGCTGCGTTTCAGAACCTCCTCGTATTCTGGTGCTGAGTGGCATTGAAATGTTTGCCTATTGGCCTTCAGACTCAGAGAAGTCAAAGCTTTTTCACTGCAAAGATTGAAATCTAAGCAAGTCCATTTTTCTTAAAATAAGAGCATTTTCTTCTTGAATTAAGCAGTTAAGTGATACACTTTGCCAATGGAATATGACAATTCACATTAAAAAAACAAACAACTGCAGTCTCTTATTTCAAGTGCATTTTATCTAACGATCTTATTTTATAATTATTTTGAGAGTAAACACACTCATTAAGGGTAAAAACACTAAATTAAGCAATTGCTTGACTCATTTTTAGGTGTTTTTTTTGTAGTGTTGTTGAGGAAATTTAGGGAAACCCATGATGGTTTCAGTCATATGGAGGATTAAATGCTACACTGGAAAAAAGATTCATTTTTTCATAAAATAAGTCAATTTGTTCTTGAATTGAGGAGGTAAGTGAGACACTTTGCCAATGGAACAAGACTATTTATATTTAAATAAGAAAAAAACAATTTAATTCTCTTATTTCAAGTGCATGTTATCTAATTATCTTATTTTAATAGTAAAATTACTAATTCCATTGGCAAATGATCTTGTGTACCTACTTAAATTAAGGGTTATTAAAAAATGTTGACTTATTTCTAGATCATGTTTGCAGTGAATGAGGGTCAGAATATGACTTTACTTTATGCATCATGAAGCCCTGACTGAAAAGGCAGGCATCTGTCGGGTTGCAGCCTTTCTGGCTAAAGATAGATGCATGAAAATAAAGACAAGGAGAATAAAATCATCAAAGGGGAAGTAGATCTATAGGTTAAGACCATCGATGTCTTTGTGAAGTTTTAGCTTCACCCCTCCTGAAAGTTGATTTTATTAATTGTTGTTCTGATGTTCTTTGCAGCACTCTCTTTTTTATTGGTTTTATTGTATTCGAAGCAAAGGAGAGAAAACATCTAACTGTTTTAAGCAGAAAATAGGAATTTATCACTTTCCATTTTTACTCATATTAAATTGTATAAAAAAAAAAAACTTGCCATAGTTTGTTTCCACTGTTTCTCAGCTGGTTGATGTTTCGTGTTTTTTTATTTTAATTTGAACTTTCCATATTATGCTTGTCTGTTTGAAATAAAGATGAAACTGAAGACCATAAACGTTTCCTTTCCTTGACATTGTTGCTGATTTTGTTTAGATTTGGCTTTAATTGATTTGCTGGAGACCAGGGAGGTTAAAATGTTATTCTAAACTCTTCCTTCTGCTCTATCAACACCCATAATGGGCGTTTTCCAGGTTTTAAAATCTAAATAAAAATAAATAGGGTAACTGGTGGATTTTTTTGATAGATAAAGCTGAGGAGCATTAGCATAACAAAACACATTTAAAGTTCATGTTTATGTCTTATCACATTGCAGCTGATGAAAAGAGAAAAGGTCCAATCACTGAGCCCTGTGGCACCTCACAACTAACCGAAACACAATGAAGATTTAACATGCTTTCTGCCAGAGGAAAGACGTCCAACTTTGCTTAGAAAGGTTTGAATTCTCTGTAGCAACCAAGAGGACCCTCCCTCCTGGACAGGATTCCTTCATATCTTCACTTTAAAGGATCAAAGAAATCACAAATTCAATGTAAAGTAGCAGCCATTCAAAAAGGCCCTTCCTAGCTGAATGGCAGCCCACTTCCCTGGAACTCCTGGCAAAATCCCCTCCAACTCCCACACTGGAGTGACCCCCTCCTCCTGGGCGTGCACATTTTTTACTGACTCCACCCTTCTACTGAATTACAGGGTCTGCCCAGGAGATGACGCTTCTCTTTAGATCTTGCAATGATAACAGGAAGGAATCAACCCCCACCCCATAGAAGGGACCAAAATATCTGGCCTGTCCAGCCAGGCCAACAATTCCCTTTAATGACCCTCCTTTCAGAGACATAGACAGGTATGGGGCATTGCAGACTAACAAAGAAGCCAAACAGTTCCCATTTCAAAGGGGTGGACCCGTTCATCCATTTCAATTTGCATGTTTTCTATACAAAAACACATAGATGGCTTCCTTCACCTCCCTCTCAAACCATCTATTTTCTTTATCCAAAATATGAACATTCTGGTCCTCCAAACAATGTCCTTTGTCCATAAGGTGTAGACGTACAGCAGAGTCTTGTTCAGAGGAGGGGGCTCATCTGTGTTGGGCCATGCGTCTGTGGAGAGGTAGTTTGGTTTCTCCAATATAAAGATCAGAGGATTCCTCACTGCATTGAACTGAACTGCAGACACCACTCCGCCATATTTGGACTGGAGGTTTGGTCTTTAGGATGCACTACTCTCTGTCTAAGGGTCTGTTTGGTTTGAAATGTTCTGGGATTTTGTTTTTTGGAGAAAATCCTCTGAAGTCTTTCAGCAACATATGATTGATGTGTTTCTGTTTTATTAGAGACATGCTCAGTTCGGTGTTGTGATGTTGAAACTGAGACAGTTTTTCACTTTCTTCTGCAACCTGCTGCCTTTTTTATTCTGTTTCACCTGCTTCTCCAGGTTTTCCTTCTCAGAAACCCACCTTCAGTTTCTTAAAAGTCCTTCTGCTGATCCAGCTCTCCACACACTGAGCACATGATGATGTCCTCCTCCATCAACCTGCTGTCTCCTGCTGCCATGGTGGAGCAGCACAATAGACCCACTAAACCAGACACTTCTGCTCATTAAAACTACTATGGTTTGCTGAGACGTTCATGTACGTGAAAATATTTTTGCAGGATTCCCCAGATTTTTAAATGTGGCTCACTGTCAGAGATAAAGCAAGTTCAAACCTTTTATTCAATGTCAACTCAATAACTAAGTATCCTGGGTGAAAAGGCACTGGGATTGCATGGCCAAAATGTGCCGTGTGTTTCTCAACGTGTGTTTGTTTATGTGATAAGGTCAGGGGGTGGGCAGGTTACACTGCAGCTCCATTTATAGACCTGGAGAGGTTGACTGTAAGTGTTAATGTGCCACTGTATACAGCTGCCACTCGCAGGGACGGATATCTGTGCTCACACACGGGAATTATAACAGGTAACGTTCATTTAGCAGCAACAGCAGCAGTGAAGCAAGGCAGTGTTGGCGTGGAACTACAGGGACAGTAAGTCAATTTAAGGTTTTCACCTGAATCAGCGGCAGGCAGAGAGTGGCATTAAGGGAAAAGAGGCAAACCTTTGGGTTTAAACAAGATCTGCAAATATATCGGACCCTGTGACGCTGTCCTCACTCAGCTTTCACTGGGACCAGTTATGGACAGGTTCCAGTGGCACCAGTTCAGCTCAGGCTGAGGAGACATGTGGTGCAGTAACAGGGAGCGAGGGGCATGGCTATTGGGGGGGGTCAGGAGACCTGATAGTCTCAGCGACTGCAGGTCTCCATGTTTGGTGTGGCCTCCTTTCCTCCTGCCTCGGCAGCATCTGAACTACTGTGCCTTTCATTAACCGCGTCTCTGGAATAAATCAGGAAAAAAACAACAGCACTTTTCTGGAGTTTAAGTTTAAAACAAACAGCCGAGGGGCAGATTTTAACTCCAGGCTCTTATTCTGAAAGTCCCTTTGGCATTTAGGGTGTCTTCAGGTGCCAAACAGCACAGGCTGTTTCTAAATATATCTGAGCTGCAGGGACGTCCTCTGCCTCACTAAGCCTTCTGGATGTAGATAATGGAAAAACGCATGAATGGGATCAGAAAATACGGTTTCTATAAACTTAAAGTTTTTTTTTTTTTTCATTAATAACGAGTTTCTGAATGAAGCTGGTATCGCTCTAACCCTGAACCGTGATGGAAGATGGCTTTTTGACCCGCTAACCACAGGCAGAATATTTCCTCGGCTTTTTGGTCTACAACCATCAGGGCAGATGGTCAGTAGGTCTCTGGATTGATGGATGGATTAGATGATGGGACTGTGGGCTCAGAATGCTCCTGTGTTCTTTCACAGAGTTAGCAGATATGCACTAGCAGACACTGAACGGGTACCACCAGTGATCAGAATGTTGACCTACAATCAGCTGGAGGTCAGAATCAGTAACTCCACCCGATGATTTTCACAGTTATCATCCAGTCAGTGAAGTTAAATCAGAACAATCACTGAAATGTATGTTCAGATACCTTTTATTTTATAAAATGTCAAACAGGAGAAGCAATTAAACAGTTTTATGTGGTGATGCTAGCACCTAAACCCGACCTGTTACTGATGACAGAAAGCACTTCACTGAAGGGTAACGCCTCTATGATGACATCACTGTTAAAGATTCAACAAATGAAGGAAGGGTCAGCTACTCTCAGACATCCCAAGTTCCAAAAACTGATTTCAGGGAGATGCTAACCCGTCCTGGCCCCTGTTATGGCCCCTCTACCGAAGACATATTACAAAAAGAAATTCTAATGATGATATGCGCTAGAACAGACATGGTTACTGATGGGTCCTTTGGATCTACTTCATTCTGTTTCTTCACAAATTCTGTTTTACTAATTATTCAAAAACAATAAGGCGATAGCTTCAGTGGTATTGAGATAGGATCCCAGATTTTATCTACTAAATGTTTTTATCTTCACAACAAATAAAAAAAAAGTTCTAATTTTTATGGATGAATTTAAGTTTTTCTTGAGTTCTAATTAAAATTTTATAGAAACGGTAGATTTAACTGAAATTAAGTCAAAAATATGTAAAATTCCTAAATTATAAATGTATATTGACCTCATAAGAAATAGAATTTTTATTAAATCTAATTGTAAAGAAGCTTCATTCAGCTATATTAATATATTTGAATCCCTCGTCCTGTTTTTTATTTCATGCTTTTCTGGGCCCCCATGAAAACACGCTGGCCCCCTCCTGGCCCCCTGGTACATTTGGTCTAGATCCGCCACTGTTCCTCCCCTTCACTAGAAGTGGATATACTTTAGTATATTCTGCTGTAAAGTTAGTCCTATATTTTCATTTTTTAATCAAGGATTGAACCTCTGCCGTTTCCCAGGATGCACAGCTTTGAGTGGTAACTAGGTGACTGCCAGAGAGTAACCAGAGAAACTTATCGGACTGATCCAATCAGCTCTCTGACAACCAGTCGCCTGGAACGCTGGTTGAACAGAGCATCGCTTTGGACAGAAACGCTGCACAGGTTTCACTGCAACCTCCTCCCCACACCCCGCGCTCTATTGTTGTTCCTGTGGAATCGGAGTATTTCTTATCCGCACATGATGCATGAATTATTGTACTGCCTGCCCGCTCTCACTCACTTTAAAAAAAAACCACCTCCCAGAGATCGGATAATTTATCCGACTCGCGGGCATCCATGAACAACTATCTATATCAGGGAGACTTAGGATGTCTGTACTCTGATTTATTCACTTTAATTCAGTTTATTTCTATAGCGCCAATTCACAACACATGTCATCTGAAGGCACTTTCCAGTTCACCAGATCATCCAGTCAGATTGATTCAAAGTTTTCTATCTAAGGAAAACCAGCTGATTGCATCGACTCATTGACTCTTCAGCAATCCCTCACACTAAGCATGCTTGTAGCGACAGTGGAGAGAAAAACTCCCTTTGAACAGGAATAAACCTCCAGCAGAACCAGGCTCAGTGTGAGCGGCCATCTGCTGAGGCCGACTGAGGTTCAAGGAGACAGAAGCAGACATAGAAAAAGAAGCATAGATACAAAAGGCAACTGTCAACCAGCTCCACAGGCGGCCCCGTCCAGCAAACACACAACCAAGCAGACGAGCTCCGAGCCAGCTCCCATGTCAGAGGATGAAGAGAGCACATCCAGTTAGTCACAGTCAGAGAAACAGGACTACACTGGAAAACAGGCCAAGCTCCAACATCTATAAACAAAGGTGTTGATGGCAGCAGCACAGCTGATATTTCTCTCCAGGATGGAGTCACAGCCAAACAGGAACAGACCAGATGAAGCTACTATGAGAAAAAGCAGAGAGAGCAGAACGTTAGAGATTGAACTAACAGATTCTGCAGAGTGGGAGAATAGAGATAGAATGAAGCTGAATGATGAAATGGGGTCCCTATGTCCTCCAGCAGTCTAAGCCTATAGCAGCATAACTATAGAGATAGCTCAGGATAACCTGAGCCACTCTAACTATAAGCTTTATCAAAAAGGAAAGTTTTAAGCCTAGCCTTAAAAGTAGACAGGGTGTCTGCCTCACGGACTAAAACTGGTAGTTGGTTCCACAGGAGAGGAGCCTGATAACTAAAAGATCTGCCTCCCATTCTACTTTTAGAAATTCTAGGAACCACTAATAAACCTGCAGATTGAGAGCGAAGTGCTCTGTTAGGAACATAAGGAACAATCAGATCTCTGATATCAGATGGAGCTTGGCCATTTAAGGCTTTATATGTGAGAAGGAGGATTTTAGATTCTATTCTGGATTTAACAGGAAGCCAATGAAGAGAAGCCAGGATAGAGATATTATATAATTCACAATACATGTAATCTCTAGGCACTTTATAAACAACATTCAACCAGATCATCCAGTCAGATTGATTCAAAGTTTTCTGTCTAAGGAAAACCAGATGATTGCATTGACTCTTCAGCAATCTCTCACACTAAGCATGATTTTATTGAGTTTTTAATGCAGCCTGATTTGCAATGCAGGACCCTCCAACAGACACCTTTAGATGGCTCCATAGCTGCTAGGGTTGACGACTAGAGGACAAACTCTGTTGGCTGTGTGACCCTGTGGACTTCCACAGGGAACTGGACTACCACACTTTCTGTTTATCTTTGGAGACATCAGCCCTCTGGTTGTATCAGAGATGGACCAGAATCTAGAAGTAGCCCCTGATGCTGCACATCTTCAATGTGGTTGTAGAAAGAAGTATTTCCTTAGCAACAGCAAGCGAGAAAGTGACAGTTCTGATCTGGGGTAGCTTTGCTGCCTATTCAGAGGACTGTGCCTGTATGTTTGCTTCATGAATTAAAAAATAAGCATTATGGACCATTCTGGGGATCCTGGTCAAACCAAAAGAACCCAGCATCAGACTTTCAGCCAGAGGCCCCTCCAGAATGGCTAGAATCACTGATCTCCATTAATTCACTGGATTGCTGATTGGCCGAAAAAAGTGAAGCCACGTCCACCATATTGGTACTCCCCATTCCCATAGAGATGTGCAGAAAAAATGCCTCCCTGTGCAGCATTTAGCTGCAAAAACCAGCAGTTTTCTGGCTGTGGGAAGATGATCCACAGGTTTTTCCCAGTCAGTGGATGAACTAACCAATAAATCCATCTATAGCCGATGGATCCTATAGTATAGTCTGTAGCGTAACATTAGTCTGGCTATCTGGGACTGACTGGAAGACATTGACTGAGTTAGCCACTGGCATTGGGTCTAACAGAAAATAGAAAGTAATTCACGGTGAAATGTCAATGTAATAATTCTTTATTAAGTGGATGATGCTTTTGTTTTTGTAGTTTGTTGGCACGTGCTGAAATATATTGCATGTTAAAAAAGCAACTGAAACATTTTTAAAGGCTAATGCACAGACACAGCAAAAAGTATACCGGAGTGCATCAATGATTATGCACAATTTACAAAGAAGTAAACCCTATAGCATCATTCAGTCTTGAAGTGAAATCTTGAAATTATATGTAACAACAACAAGAATGTCATCAATACATGTATATTACACGTACATCATTAATTTAGTATTTTTGGCCCATCTGTATTATTCTGCTCAATCAACACATTCATTTTATTGTGTTTGATTTGTATAATATGTTATATTACATGATTTATAGACTTCATTGTCCTTATAATGACTATGCAACGTGATGTGACTATTATTTTATTATAAGTTACACTAATCTACTGATTCTATGAAGCAGCCAGTTTCAAAGTGATGAATTTATCTCTGAAAATGAGAACATCATATTGTTTGATGCTGCAGTGTATTGTTTACACTGTGACCGGTCTAACTAGGGAGTACCAATATGGCGGCTGGTGGCTTCATTTCAACCCTGTACCACCGATGGGCAATCAATGATCCAGGGAACAAATAGAGATTGGTGGCTGAAACACAGACAGCTACAGAAAGCCTTTGTCTCCTGACCTGTAACCATCCAGGTTGGTCCTAAATACGCTAACATCACTGAGCTTTATCAAAATCTGAGGTATTTCACCTTAAATTATCTGATATCAGTTTATTTATTGAATCTGATTAGAATAAATCTGATCAAACAGAAAGAAACAGAGTCCTGGGTGGCGTAGGACTGAATTTAATCTGACATCAACTCGGTCTGGTGTACTGCTCTTATTTTCCTTAGTGTTCTTTTTCCCTTTGTTTCCGTTTGTTTAAATCAGTGTTGCATGATGATGGATGATCCAGGTCCAGAAAGTAAACACTCTGCCCCCCAGATTACCAGCCTCCAGAGCTGGAGATGCTAATGGTGGGAACTAATCTTGATACAGGCTTTAAACCCTCTGGACCTGGATCATCCACCTTTAGTATCCATTCAATGCAAAGTTAATGAAACAATGAGCTCTAAATGGATGCAGTCTGCTCATCCTGGTTGGTCAGACGAAGCTCATCCAAACCCGTGTTTTATCATTTAGTTCAATAACTCCATGGAAACTAAATAAAGGTGGATCCTAGATGAAGGTGTTCTGCTAACACTGTGTTTGTCCTGGTTCCCAGCTGTCATGGCTCCCAGCCTGGCCCAGGCCTACAGGAGGAGGTGGTGGATGGCCATCACTGCTATCATTGAGAATCTGCTCTTCTCTGCTGTTCTGCTGGGCTGGGCTTCCCTGCTCATCATGCTGAAGAACGAAGGCTTCTATTCCCACCTCTGCCTGGGTAAATACATCCATCCATCATCCATCCATCCATCCATCCATCCATCCATCCATCAACCATCCATCCATCCATCCATCCATTGATTCCATCCATCCATCAATCATCCATCATCCATCCATCCAATCAGCATCCATCCATCCATCCATCCATCCATCCATCCATCCAATCAGCATCCATCCATCCATCATCCATCCATCCATCCATCCAATCAGCATCCATTGATTCCATCCATCCATCCATTGATTCCATCCATCCATCAATCATCCATCATCCATCCATCCAATCAGCATCCATCCATCCATCCATCCATCCATCCAATCAGCATCCATCCATCCATCCATCCATCCATCCATCAATCCATCCATCATCCATCCATACAACCAGCATCCATCCATCCATCCATCCATCATCCATCCATCCATCCATCCATCCATCATACATCCATCCATCCATCAATCCATTCATCATCCATCCATACAACCAGCATCCATCCATCCATCCATCCATCCATCCATCCATCCATCCATCCATCCATTCAACCAGCATCCATCCATCCATCCATCCATCATCCATCCACCATCCATCATCCATCCATCCATCCATCCATCCATCCATCCATCCATCCATCCATCCATTCAACCAGCATCCATCCATCCATCATCCATCCACCATCCATCCATCCATCCATCCATCCATCCATCCATCCATCCAGCCATCCATCATCCATCCATCCATCCATCATCCATCCATACAACCAGCATCCGTCCATCCATCCATCCAGCCACCCATCCACCATCCATCATCCATCCATCCATCCATCCATCCATCCATCCATCCATCCATCCAGCCATCCATCCAGCCATCCATCATCCATCCATCCATCATCCATCCATCCATCCATCCATCCATCATCCATCCATACAACCAGCATCCATCCATCCATCCATCATCCATCCATCCATCCATCCATCCAGCCATCCATCCAGCCATCCATCATCCATCCATCCATCATCCATCCATCCATCCATCATCCATCCATACAACCAGCATCCATCCATCCATCCATCCATCATCCATCCATCCATCCATCCATCATCCATCCATACAACCAGCATCCATCCATCCATCCATCCATCCATCCATCCATCCATCCATCCATCCATCCATCCATCCATCCATCCATCATCCATCCATACAACCATCATCCATCCATCCATCCATCCATCCATCCATCATCCATCCATAATCCATCCATCCATCCATCCATCCATCCAGCCATCCATCCATCCAGCCATCCATCATCCATCCATCCATCCATCCATCATCCATCCATACAACCAGCATCCATCCATCCATCCATCCAGCCATCCATCCACCATCCATCATCCATCCATCCATCCATCCATCCAGCCATCCATCCATCCATCCATCCATCCATCCATCCAGCCATCCATCATCCATCCATCCATCCATCCAGCCATCCATCATCCATCCATCCATCCATCCATCCATCCATCCATCCATCCATCCATCCAGCCATCCATCATCCATCCATCCATCCATCCAGCCATCCATCCATCCATCCAGCCATCCATCATCCATCCATCCATCCATCCATCCATCATCCATCCATACAACCATCATCCATCCATCCATCCATCCAGCCATCCATCATCCATCCATAATCCATCCATCCAGCCATCCATCCAGCCATCCATCCATCATCCATCCATCCAGCCATCCATCCATCCAGCCATCCATCATCCATCCATCCATCCATCATCCATCCATACAACCAGCATCCATCCATCCATCCAGCCATCCATCCACCATCCATCATCCATCCATCCATCCATCCATCCATCCATCCAGCCATCCATCATCCATCCATCCATCCATCCATCCATCCATCCATACAACCAGCATCCATCCATCCATCCATGCATCCATCATCCATCCATCCATCCATCCATCCATCCATCCATCCATCCATCATCCATCCATCCATCCCTCCATCCATCCATCATCCATCCATCCATGCATCCATCATCCATCCATCCATCCATCCATCCATCATCCATCCATCCATCCATCCATACAACCAGCATCCATCCATCATCCATCTATCCATACAACCAGCATCCATCCATCCATCCATCCATCCATCCATCCATCCATCCATCCGTCCATCCATCCATCCATCTATCATCCATCCATCCATCCATCCATCCATCCATCCATCCATCCATCCATCCATCCATCCATCCATCATCCATCTGTCATCCATCCATCAATCATCCATCCATCAGTCCATCAATCATCCATCCATCCATCCATCATCCATCCATCCACCCATCCATCATCCATCCATCCATCATCCATCCATACAACCAGCATCCATCCATCCATCCATCCATCCATCCATCCATCCATCCATCCATCCATCCATCCATCCATCCATACAACCAGCATCCGTCCATCCATTCAATTCAATTCAGTTTATTTATATAGCGCCAAATTCACAACACATGTCATCTCAAGGCACTTTACAGTTCAACCAGATCATACAGTCAAATTGATACAAAGTTTTCTATCTAAGGAAAACCAGTTGATTGCATTGACTCATTGACTCAAATACAATCCCCCACACTAAGCATGCTTGTAGCGACAGTGGAGAGGAAAAACTCCCTTTTAACAGGAAGAAACCTCCAGCAGAACCAGGCTCAGTGTGAGCGGCCATCTGCCGAGGCCGACTGGGGTTCAAGGAGACAGAAGCAGAGATACAAAAAGCAGCTGTAAAAGGCGGCCCCGTCCAGGAAACACACAGCCAGGCAGACGAGCTCCAAGGCAGCTCCCATGCCAGAGGACGAAGAGAGCACATCCACTCAGTCACGGTCAGAGAAACAGGACCACACTGGAAAACAGGCCGATCTCCAACATCTATTAACAAGGGTGTTGATAGAAGCAGCACAGCTGATGTTTTTTTCCAGGATGACGTCACAGCCAAACAGGAACAGACGAGGCAAAGCTACTCTGAGGAAAAGCAGAGAGAGCAGAAGGTTAGAGATTGAACTAACAGATTCTGCAGAATAGGAGAACAGAGAGAGAATGAAGCAGAATGATGAAATGGGGGTCCCTATGTCCTCCAAAAGTCTAAGCCTATAGCAGCATAACTATAGAGATAGCTCAGGATAACCTGAGCCACCCTAACTATAAGCTTTATCAAAAATGAAAGTTTTAAGCCTAGCCTTAAAAGTAGACAGGGTGTCTGCCTCACGGACTAAAACTGGTAGTTGGTTCCACAGGAGAGGAGCCTGATAACTAAAAGATCTGCCTCCCATTCTACTTTTAGAAATTCTAGGAACCACTAGTAAACCTGCAGATTGAGAGCGAAGTGCTCTGTTAGGAACATAAGGAACAATCAGATCTCTGATATAAGATGGAGCTTGGCCATTTAAGGCTTTATATGTGAGAAGGAGGATTTTAAATTCTATTCTTGATTTAACAGGAAGCCAATGAAGAGAAGCCAGGATAGGAGAGATATGATCTCTCTTTTTCATTTTCATTAGAACTCTGGCTGCAGCATTTTGGATCAGCTGAAGGCTTTTAACTACAGTTTGTGGACTTCCTGATAGTAAAGAATTACAATAGTCCAGCCTTGAAGTAACAAATGCATGGACTAGTTTCTCAGCATCACCCCTGGACAGGATATTTCTAATTTTTGCAATGTTCCTCAGATGAAAGAAGGAAATTCTAGAAACCTCTTTGATGTGGGATTTAAATGACAGGTCCTGATCAAAAATAACACCAAGATTTTTTACTTTATTATCTGAAATCAGTTTAATCCCATCCAAATGAAGTGACTGGCTAATCAGCTTCTTTTTCAGAGACTCTGGTCCAAAGACTATAACTTCTGTTTTGTCTGCATTCAGAAGCAGAAAGTTAAGAGTCATCCAGGTTTTTATGTCTTCAAGACATGCCTGTAATCTATGTAATGGGTTAGCTTCATCTGGATTTATAGACAGATATAGCTGGGTATCATCAGCATAACAGTGGAAATTAATCCCATGCTGTCTAATAATTCTACCAATTGGGAGCATGTATAAAGTAAAGAGAATTGGTCCTAGCACTGATCCCTGTGGTACTCCACAGGTAACCTTTGAGCGTGTTGAAGATCTATCATTAACATGAACAAACTGAATTCGATCAGATAGATAAGATTTAAACCAGTCTAGTGCTGTTCCTTTAATTCCAACAAAATATTCAAGTCTTTCTAAAAGAATATTATGGTCAACTGTATCAAATGCAGCACTAAGATCCAACAGGACGAGCACAGATACAAGTCCATTATCTGAGGCCATGAGAATATCATTAGTGACTTTCACCAGAGCTGTTTCAGTGCTATGATGAGCTCTAAAGCCAGACTGAAACTCTTCAAAAAGTTCATTATGGTGGAAGTGATCGCAAACTTGTTTGGCAACTACTTTCTCAAGAATTTTGGATAAGAAAGGAAGATTGGATATAGGTCTATAATTGACCAAGTCATCTGGGTCAAGAGACGGTTTCTTAAGCAGAGGTTTAATTACAGCAATCTTAAAAGCTTTAGGTACATATCCCTGTAACAGAGATAGATTAATCACATCTAAAATGGAGGAGGAGATCAAAGGGAATACCTCCTTAAATAACCTGGTTGGAACTGGATCTAACATACAAGTTGAAGGCTTAGATGAAGACAATAATTTTGCTAATTCAGAGAGTTCAACTGGATCAAAGCCGTCTAAACCCGGTTCAGATTCCATGACTACCTCAGGTACAATCGCGGATAGAGGAGTGCTTATGATCTTATTTTTAATAAGATCAATCTTATTTATAAAGAATCCCATAAAATCATTGCTGCTAAGAGCAGGTGGAATGGACGGTTCAACAGAGCTATGGCTCTGGGTGAGTTTGGCAACTGTATTAAAAAGAAATCTAGGATTATTCTTATTCTCCTCTATTAATGAGGAGAAGTATGCTGCTCTTGCTTTACAAAGGGTCCTCTTATACAGCAGCAAACCATTTTTCCAGACTAGGAAGGACTCTCGCAGGCCTGTGGAGCGATATTTTCTCTCCAGTTTCCTAGCATTTTGCTTCAAAGTACGCAGCTCTGCATTAAACCAAGGAGCAAGCTTTCTATTTTTAACGGTTTTCATTTTCAAAGGAGCTGCGTTGTCTAAGGCAATACGCAGAGAACTAGCAACCCCCTCAACAAAATCATCAACCTGTGAAGGGGAATAAGCTAAGCTTTTGCACTCTGCAGCACTGCTCAGTGACACAGAGCAGAGAGAAAGTGAAGCAGATTCTTTAAAATTTATAACTGCACTATCTGATAAAGATCTACTAAAATTGAACCTTCTTTTGGGGGAGGAGAACTCTGTTAAAGTAATCCTGAAGGTTATTAGAAAGTGGTCAGAGAGGACAGGGTTGTGAGGAAATACTGTTATTTCTTCACATTCTATGCCGTATGTCAGCACAAGATCCAAAGTGTGAAGATGAGAATGCGTGGGACTATTCACATTTTGAACAAAGCCAATAGTGTCTAAGATAGCATTAAAGGCTGCTCTTAAGCTATCGCCTTCAATGTCAGCATGGATGTTAAAATCTCCCACTATGATGACCCTGTCAGTATTTAATACCAAATCAGAAAGGAACTCTGAAAACTCATCTAAAAATTCAGAGTAAGGACCTGGTGGACGATACAAAGTTACAAAAAGAAGAGGTTTTCTTGCCTTGAAATTTGGATCAGGGAAATTAAGGGTTAAATGTTCAAAAGAGTTGTAGGAATTAATTGTTTTGGGAGTAATCAGTAAGTCAGACTCGAAGATTGTTGCTACTCCTCCTCCTCGCCCAGAACTTCTGGGGATGTGAAAATTTAAATAGCTTGAAGGAGTTGCCTCATTTATGCTCACATAATCCTCTTGCTGCAGCCAGGTTTCTGTAAGGCAAAACAAGTCAATGTGATTATCACAAATCAAGTCATTAACTAGTAGACTTTTAGAGGAAAGCGATCTTATGTTAAACAGACCGCATTTAATTGTTTTAACTTTTTCCCCAATTGGAGTTATTTTGATTTTAATTAGATTATCATGATTTACTCCTTTGGGAATCTTTGCTAATTTATTAGCAAATCCATCCATCCATCATCCATCCATCCATCCATCCATCATCCATCCATCCATCCATCCACCCATCCATCCATCCATCCATCCATCCATCCATCCATCCATCCATCCATCCATCCATCCATCCATCCATCCATCCATCCATCATCCATCCATCCATCTATCCATACAACCAGCATCCATCCATCCATCCATCCAACCAGCATCCGTCCATCCATCCATTCATCATCCATCCATCCATCCATCCACCCATCCATCATCCATCCATCCATCATCCATCCATACAACCAGCATCCATCCATCCATCCATCCATCCATCCATCCATCATCCATCCATCCATCTATCCATACAACCAGCATCCATCCATCCATCCATCCATCCAACCAGCATCCATCCATCCATCCATCATCCATCCATCCATCCATACAACCAGCATCCATCATCCATCCATCCAACCATCCATCCATCCATCCATCCATCCAACCATCCAAAAATCATCCATCCATCCATCCATCCATCAATCCATCATCCATCCATCATCCATCCATCCAACAATCATCCATCCATCCATCCATTCATCCATCCATCCATCCATCCATCCATCCATCCAACAATCATCCATCATCCATCCATCCAACCATCCAACAATCATCCATCCATCCCTCCATCCATCCCTCCATCCATCCATCCATCCATCCATCCAACAATCATCCATCCATCCATCATCCATCCATCATCCATCCATCCAACAATCATCCATCCATCTATCCATCCAACAATCATCCATCCATCCATCCATCCAACAATCATCCATCCATCCATCATCCATCCATCATCCATCCATCCAACAATCATCCATCCATCCATCGATCCATCCAACAATCATCCATCCATCCAACCATCTAACAATCATCCATCCATCCATCCATCCGTCCATCCATCCATCCAACCATCATCCATCCATCCATCCATCCATCCATTCATCCATCCATCCATCCATCCATCCATCCAACAATCATCCATCCAACCATCCAACAATCATCCATCCAACCATCCAACAATCATCCATCCATCCATCCATTCAACAATCATCCATCCATCCATCCATCCATCCATCCATCATCCATCCATCCATCCATCCATCCATCCATCCATCCATCATCCATCCATCCAACAATCATCCATCCATCCATCCCTCAATCATCAATCCATCATCTATCCATCCAACAATCATCCATCCATCCATCCATCCATCCATCCATCCATCCATCCATCCATCCATCCATCCATCCATCCATCATCCATCCATCCAACAATCATCCATCCATCCATCCATCCACCCATCATCCATCCATCCATCCATCCATCCATCCATCCATCCATCCATCCATCCATCCATCCATCATCCATCCATCCAACAATCATCCATCCATCCATCCATCCAACATCCATCCATCCATCCATCCATCCATCCATCCATCCATCCATCCATCCGTCCATCCATCCATCCATCCATCCATCCATCCATCCATCCATCCATCCATCCATCCATATCCATCCATCATCCATCCATCCATCCATCATCCATCATCCGTCCATCCATCCAACAATCATCCATCCATCCATCCATCCATCCATCCATCCATCCATCCATCCATCCATCCATCCATCCATCCATCCATCCATCCATCCATCCATCCATCCATCCATCCATCCATCCAACAATCATCCATCCATCCATCCAGGGATATCTGTTCTGGTTAAAAAGGTTCCGGTTTGTAATCATCCAGTTTTAAACATCAGAAACCAAAGAGAATAGCATCTTACATTAAAATGTTCTCTTTAATATAAGAATGTGTCAAATATCTATGAAAGAAATACAATTTTGACAGAAATAACAGAATAAAGTGAAGAGATTTAATATGAGGATTCATTCTAAATCAGAGGTCCTGATGTGAAGCTGCTGCTGTAGGTCATAACCCTTGGTTGTTTTTTTCACCAAGCAAATGAGACCAGTGGCCCTAACAGAACCATGGTACTGGGCAGCAGAAGACCCAGTTGTGTGGAGCAGGATGAGATGCTGAATCTGGGCTTCACCATCGGCTCCTTCTTCCTCAGCGCCGCCACTCTGCCCCTGGGAGTTCTGATGGACAGATTCGGACCACGACCAATCAGGCTCATTGGAAGGTCTGACACAACGTTCATTTCTGATCATAACCATTTTCCTTTAAGATATAACATAATTTCAGCTTCTAGTTCAGCTGCAGCACTTTTGTCCAGAGTTCTCAGGTCAGAGGCAGGCCTGATGACCATAGAGAGATGCCGTTAGACTAGATCAATCCTCTGAATGCTGGTTTAATAAACCCACTGACAGCAGGAACAAACAGAGGAAAAGAAGGCATGGCTTATAACCATGAGACTGACATCCATCAATCAGACCAGGGGCGGACGGTTCAGAACAGCTTCAGAATATTTGATATGAACAGGAAACACCTCCACAGCTCTAACTAGAACCTGCTTATATGTATTGTGACTCTTTCTCTAACTGCTGCAGCAGAGGTTTATTATCCTCTGATATTAGACATTATACAGTACATTCATTATCTGAGGACCAGTTTCTCTTTGAAGGAAGTGCTGGCTTCTCCAACCAATCCCTGCACAGGAGCATTTAGAAAAGACTAAAGTGTGTTTCTAATAGTTCAGATGCAGCTTGGCCTGTTTAAGAATGAAAAGCTCAGCCAACAATGTGTTTGTTTCAGTTCCTGTTTTGCAGCATCCTGTGCAATGATAGCTGCTGCTGCATACGACCCTGAAGGTGAGACACTAAAGCTGTGAAGCTTTGGCTTCCAGCTTCACTCCTTCAATGTTTCAGCCATCTCCTGGTCAGCCTGTGTGTGAAGCTGCTGTGATGTGTCTCATTTTTCCATCAGTGCTGTCTGTCCTCATTTTCTTTGCTGTTTCCTTCAACGGGTTTGGAGGAATCTGCCTGACCTTCACATCTCTCACAGTGAGACTCATTTTCATAAACACAAACACATATGTTTGGAGGGACAACCAAACACATGGCTGCTGCTGCTGCTGGATGTGTGTCAGGGTTGGTGGCTGTTGTTGTGAACCCAAATGCAGAGTAGGAGAGGCAGACATGATTACTTGGGAAATTTAATGAAGAAATAAAAATACAGAATCCATAATCCAGAACTGACCGACTAGAAAACGGAAGGAAAAACTCGTATAAATTAGGAAGCATAAACCTAAAGAATGACAAAGATCCAGCTGTGAGGAACTGAACAGGAGGTGTTCATATGGGAGACAGAAACATGGGAGGAATAGTTAGCTGACAGGGAGCAGGTGTGGACAGGTAGCTAGAAGGAGCCGTTGGATAAGTTATGAGCATGTGGAAAATGCTGAAACACGCTGGCAGACGTCAACATCGGACATGTAAGTAGAGAAATTATAAACATGCTCAAAATTTTCTTGAAGTATACCAGCGTAAGCCATCCGTGGGCCATCAGTTCCAGGTCAGTTATCTGATGGTTGACATCCATTTAGTGTCAGTTCCTCATCAGTCGTGGCGTCTAGCTGATCCTAAACCTCTGAGTAACTTGTGCATAACTTCTGCGTAGCTTATCCAGAACTTCTCTCCAACGCATATCAAGGTATCTGACGTGTTCCAGACGAGCGCTGAACATGTTTCTAACTTCCAGCTACTGTATAATGGCGTATTGGCAGCGTTTTGGTATAAAGGGGGTTCACAGGAGGAAACCGTCAGTTCTCCTCCAGACTTCATCCCCATCATAGGGGGAGCCAGAAGGTGAGGGTGATGGATCCTCCCTGCGTTCACGCCCACATCCAAAAAACTTCCTAGCAGACATGACGCTCAATCTGCTGCCACCAAAAAACTTATTTCTTTATCCTTTTTCTCTTATTCTTTTTTGGTGGGGGGTAAACAGCAGCGAGGTTAATACTGCGATCAAAGAAATCTTTTCTGCTGGCCTGGTGCCTCCCAGAGCATCACTGCCCCCCTCAGGACACTGGGTTGTGCATCATTTCATGGGCATTACGCTGCTGTGCGTTATACATAAGTTAGGCTGTTGTTGGACAGAAGTTCTGGACTCGTTATGAATAATCTATGTATACGGCCAAAATTGAAAAAATCCATAGAAAGTTCAGCGTATGCCAGTGTTTTAGGAGATTCTGGGACATCGGGCATACGCTGGATAAATCAGCAAGATGTGACTGGAGCTTAAAGGAAAGGAAAGGACACTATGGGTAATAAATATATGGGAATATAATTCACAAAATAAGGAATGACAAAGGGAAAAAACTAGACCATGAGAGAAGGAACGCAAGATCACTGAAGCCATGGAAAACCTCACTCAAATATAAGAGAAAGAATAACTATAACTAAAACTAGACCAAGGAAATTCTGCAGAAAAAGGTAACCAGGAAGAGCAGAACTAAGAATACCAAAATGATCTAAATCTAGAGAACTACACAAAGTCTCTTCACGCCATTTGAGAGCAACAGTTATTTGTTTTCTGGAGTTTTTCCACAATCTATTGATAGTGGATAGCTCTGTGTCTACACCTTGAAGCTTTCGCTCTCCGCTTCTTTTTTTCTAAAAAAAAGATCAGTCGAGACAAACTCTTTAAATAACACTTCATTATGTAAATGTTTGAAATAACCAGGAGACATGAAAACAGATTCTGATAAAAATTGTAATCTTACTCAGATCAGAGAAGTTGATTAGAGTTACAGAAGGCAGCTGCTGACCAACCAGGCTCACATCTCAGGAAGTGGCCCCGATTAACAGCATTCTATACCACTGCAGTCTGCCACATCATCACATCATCACATCATTACATCATCACATCATCACATCATCACATTGTAAACATCATCACATCATCACATCATCACATCATTACATCATCACATCATTACATCATCACATCATCACATCATCACATTGTAAACATCATCACATCATTACATCATCACATCATCACATCATTACATCATCACATCATTACATCATCACATCATCACATCATTACATCATCACATCATTACAACATCACATCATCACATCATTACATCATCACATCATCACATCATCACATCATTACATCATCACATCATTACATCATCACATCATTACATCATCACATCATCACATCATTACATCATCACATCATTACAACATCACATCATCACATCATCACATCATCACATCATCACATCATTACATCATCACATCATTACATCATCACATCATTACATCATCACATCATCACATCATTACATCATCACATCATTACAACATCACATCATCACATCATTACATCATCACATCATCACATCATCACATCATTACATCATCACATCATTACATCATCACATCATTACATCATCACATCATCACATCATTACATCATCACATCATCACATCATCACATCATTACATCATCACATCATTACATCATCACATCATCACATCATTACATCATCACATCATTACAACATCACATCATCACATCATTACATCATCACATCATCACATCATCACATCATTACATCATTACATCATCACATCATTACATCATCACATCATTACATCATTACATCATCACATCATCACATCATCACATCATTACATCATCACATCATTACATCATCACATCATTACATCATCACATCATACACATTTGTAAATGAGGAGACGGCTCCAGCCTTTCCCGAAATATTACACTTTTGTCTTACATCAAGGACGCCGCTCTCATTCCATTTCCAAATCTTTACCACTTGCATAAGAAAGAGGATAACTGTAAATCCGGACAGAGGAACTGTCCTAACTAGATAAACTACATGGGAGAATATTAGCTCTGACACACAACAGACAGGTAATATTAGGGTGTAAAAAAATCACATCAATGATAATTATCCCAACATGAGCTAAATCTCTAGATGTTTACATTTCTGCACAGATCTGTCCGTGAAAGCTTGGTTTATGCTTGACACATCTGTGAGGTCGGCGTGCCAAGTTATGTCATTTTCGTTTTCCACGCCCCCTCCACACCCCTCCTCACAGACTGAAAAAATTTGTAGCTATGCTGAGGGATTCACGCAGAAAACATGACGAGTGGAAAGCAGCTCCTGCTGGCACGTGCTCGCAAAGGTACACATGCAGACACAGGCCGTGATTTAGACCCCCCCCCCCCACCACTCACACACACACACACCCACCAGGTTAAAAACATGTTATACAGAGTGGGAGAAAAACAGTAAAATGTTGAAAGAACTTTGAGAGGAAGGAGTCTGTGATTAGAAAGACCATCTTCTGTTCCATTATCTGCTTTTTAGAAGAGGCCCTCTCATCCAGCCTGGCAGGTGGGGGCAGCCTGAGTGAATACTTTAATAAAGTAAATGAAAATCAGATAAAAATATTATCACGGTCTTTGATAGAAAATTGATTTTTCCGACTACAAAATCTAAAGTTGCTTTAATTCCATCAGTAAGTTGAATAGAAAGGGCAGACCCATTTAAACGATGATGAAAGAGTTTTAAAACCTGTTAAATCATGTTTAGAAAAGAATGTCAAAAATATTCATACCCCTGTCACTATATACCGTATAATATTTTAGGCATTACATTAACCAAACACTTTTAATGAAGAGCAGCTTTCTGAACGCTCCCTCTGTTCTTCACCCTCATCTTTTGGAATCAGGTCAAACCTGTGGTTGAACTCCATATTATTCCCATCAAATTGAAGAAACAAGTTGTTAAAATAACAAATAGTTTAAACCATGATCTGGCAAGGGATAAAGAATCTGCATGTTAATTTTAGTTTGGTCTAATAGGAATATTTTACCAAGATTCCCGTTTTATATTGTGTTTCTAGTTCTGTTAGGTTCTTTGTGTCTTGTTGTTTAATATCTGTTTTACAGTTGTTAAATGATCTCTGTGTGTTTTATTTCGACCTGTTGTTGTTGTATCCAAGAGATTTTTGTCATCCAAACAAGTCTTAGTTTAGTTCATTTATTAGATGTGAATCAGACGTGTAAACAGTATGGACAGAGGTCATAGAGGTGTCCTTAGAGGTTTTAGTGTTCATTTTGGGGTCTGTGTGTGTGCTTCTGTTTTAGAGTAATACTGGGGACATCTTTACAAAGTGAGAACCTTTTGGTCAGTCGTCACAAGCTATATTTGGTATTTATTTACGACTACAGAGTTATTTGGGTTAGGGTGAGGTATGCACTGCTAATGCTTAGGGTTATTTTCAGTGTTAGGGCACAGAAAGGGTTGAAAATGACTAAAAATCTATTAAGGTCAGTTGGAGTCCATGCATGGCCCTCACTATATATAGCAAGACAAGGGTATGTGTGTGTGTGTGTACCTGTCTAGCCCTCAGAGTGAGGACCATTTTCCAATTTCACCATCAGTTTGAGGACCAGTTGTTCCAAAGTGAGGCAATGTTGCTGGTCCTCACATGCTATTTTGCTAATGGGTACGTCTAGGGCTAAAGTGTCAATAGGGTTAGGGTGAGGTATGCATTGGCAAGGGTTATTTTTAGGGTTAGGGCACAGAAAGGGTTGAAAATGACTGAAAATAATTGGAAATCAATGGGAGTCAGCACATGGTCCTCACTACATATAGCAGAAGGTGTGTGTGTGTGTGTGTATGTTGGTCTGCGTGTCAATAAAGCTTCACTCTAACTTTAAACACATAGCTGCAATGCTGCCAAGACCTCTGGACCAAGATGAGCAGGATGACACACACGGTCCCCCCCACCCCACCCATAAAATCAAATTCAATGTTCCGGCAGTGACTCCATACAGACACTGTAGCTCCTCCTGCTGGATATGCTGCAACATCACAGTTAATAATTCTGATAAATTACAACCATTCAACTCTTTTTGTTTGAACATTTCTTAATCCAGTAAAACCAGTAAATAAATGTTTCTATTACCTAATATTAACTTAAAAATTTTTATTTCTTTGTTTTGATTCCTCTTGTCATTGCAGATGCCTAACATGTTTGGAAATATACGATCAACCATCCTTTCCCTGATGATCGGCTCCTACGCTTCTTCAGCAGTCACCTTCCCAGGAATAAAGGTGCATAAACCTGCACCCATGCACATATACAAAGATCCATGCTCCATCCAAAATTAAGCTAATTACTGTTCCTAGCTCCTGTTCCTAGACCCTGTTCCTAGCTTCTGTTCCTAGCTCCTGTTTCCCAGCCCCCCTTTTTTTTTCCTAGCTCCTGTTC